ATGTACACATATGCAGCTGCAGCTGCGGAAAACGATAAAAAAAATATAATAATTTCATTTATTTGGAAATAAAAAGAAAGCTAACAAAAGAAAAAACGAAAAATAATACCTTTTCTGCATAAACTTCAATGCACGACGATCCATTATACAAAATAAAAACAATATATTAAAAAAATTAAAGTTATGCATGCGACGGCGGCGACGACGGCAGAGGCAGCAGCGTTCTGTTGTTTGCGGCAACGACGTCGACGGTAATGCTTGTTTTTGTTAATAATAGCATATTGCCGTGGCCTTTTCGTTTAGTTTCCTCAACTATTTTGATTTTTAACACTATGCAAACACAAAACACACATACACAGCCAATAAACCTAAGACATACGCACAGTCAAAACAACAAATAAACGAACGTAGAACACAAGACAACAAAAAAGTGTACACAAAAACAAGTCAGCAGCAGCGTTAAGTGCTGTATTTGGGTGGTGTGCTGGACAGTATAAACGACGTAGCTCCCGCTCCCACTCACTCTCACTGCACTGCAATGTCGGCGGCGACGTTTTCGTCTCGGTGAATGCTGCTCTTTTTTCAATGTATTAAATTTGTTGTGTGCGCTGTGTTGGGGGCACCTGTGCACGCGATCTTACATAAAACGCGACAGCTCTAGGTTTGTATACGTCGGCAGCGACGCGTCGCCTGCACACACATTTGTTTCGCGACATCATGGGTTTTCTTTTGTTTTGTCGCCTTAGCATTCACTTCTTCTTAGCCACACACTAGTTCTGCGTTGCATTATAAAAAATTTAAAAAAGTATCGTTATTATAAATGGAACGGCATACAGCAACAGCGTACTCGTATTCCCGTGATTGCGCGCGGAGTCGAGGCACAGACCGAATACCGAATACCGAACTCTGCCAAGTGGATTTTAGGACTGAGACGCGCGCAGACGATAGCGGGAACACACGGTAGCAGCAGCAGCAGCAGCGGCAGTGACAGCGGCAGCGCTGCGAAACAAAATGAAGTGCGCATGTGTTGGTGTTGGTGTGGTTGAATGCGGGGCCGGCGGCGCGACGCGGGCAGCTGGGGCATGCGAAACCAGTTTTCTCTCACACCCATGCAACACAGCGATAACTTTTCTCTATACTGAAAATCGCGGGTGCGAGTGGAATGGCAGTACAAGCAACGCAATCGAGCCCCAAGTGTGACTGCGATGGCCTGTGCTCGCTATCGCATGGTTTGGGGTTGGAAAGAAACAAACGACGAACGTCACCACACAGATACACACTGTCGCAGGAAAACGAGGCTACATCTGGCGTACATGTGTGCTGGTTATATATGTGTGCGCGCTCTCAACCACCCCGACGAATTCTCATCATCTTCTACAACCGAATCCAGTTTTCTGTGTCTGTACACTCGAATGTCTACCCTGTCGACTGCCTCCGATTGTTGCTTGTTTGCTGGCTTGCCTGCTATACTTCATCTTCTTTTTTCATTTCGCATTTGTCACCACCACCACCACCATCGGGACTGTGGCCCAACGGCCTACCTGGCTTCCCCTGCTCTGCCGCGACCCTCCGCTTCACATTCCCATTCCACACCTTCGGTCGTTCCATTCGGCTTTAGCTTTATTTTATTATTAGCTCTGCTTGTCGATCACAGCCGGAGAGACGGGGCGAGGTAGCGTATGCGCAGCAAAGCCCAAAGTGAAATGTTTTTTTGCTTGCTCCCTCGAACGCACAGTGGCGTGCGTTCGACTATTATTGGATTGCATTTTTTTGTTCTGCTGTGAACATCACACGCCGCAGAGGCCGTCAACGTGTGCACGGTGAGGCAATTACAGAAAAAATCGGTCACCAAATAATCACCAAATATATGTCTAATAATCGTTAAGTATTTGGTATATCAAATAACATGTATGTAATTAATAATTATTATATGTACAACTAGGGGGCAAGATATCGGGACCCACCATGTATATATATTTTAATATTTTAAATCACCCGATCTGAATCTGAATACAGTCATCTGTTTTACTCCGTGCCAACAAGTCGTGTCCCACTGTGCCTGTCTCTGGCATTCCATTTTTCATTTTGTAACCTCTTTGTGTGCCATGTGCGTTTGTATGTGTGCTTTTCTGTGGGCTCTTGTCGTTCCCCCTCTGCCAACCAGCGCCGCATTGCTACACAGGCGTTCATCGTTTTCCGTCGATGATTGCCGATGTCGCTGTTTTTGCTTTTGCCTTTGTTGCTGTTCGGCCAGCGCTGCTAGTGACGCGTTTTCTGATGTTGATGAGACCCCTGCGCTTTTTCCGATTCTCAGCCGCCGCCATATTATTTTTACGCTTGCTAGGTTCTGCTGCCGTCCCCCCACTCACCCCAACCCTCCCCCACCCAACAACCGCACACACTCTGCTTGTATTTGCATTAATGCTCTCTCGCTCTCAGCATTGCTAAGAGACAATCGTGTGTGTGTTTGTGGATTTTTCCTTTTGGCTCCACTTGAAGTTTTTTTTGGTTTTTTCCTTTTTTTTTTTATTTATTAGTCGTGTCTCTTCTTTGCTTATTCTTCTTTCACCCTGGAGTTTAACTGTATAAAAAGCAGACCCGGCCCGAGCATGCGCTCCAGGTCTCTTCCCATTCCTCTTATTTTCGCTTAAATTAATTGCCATACACTCGTTGGGACACAATTGTTGTTGGGTTTTGTTATTGGGGGGTCGGAAGTATGAGCGAGCGAGCGAACGATTGTGCGCTGCGTCTTAAACATGTGTGCGGTCATGGATATTTAAGTAAGTGTGTGTGCGTCCGCTCTTTGCATTTCGTAAAATGAAAAATTTATAATGAGCGTAAATTGCTTTGCGCGTGCTTTACTCACCCTTATACTTCCCTTCGCTCTTACTCCCTGTCTTATAGCATTTCTGTCTATGTCCCAGTAATACGCGTGCCTGTCGTGTTCCTACACCATTTTCCAAATAAAAAACCTTCAAATGAGTGCATAAAAGTCCTGCAGTCGACGCCTGACTACGACGGCGACGGCGACTGTGGTAGCGGCTCACCAATTTTAAAGCTCTAAGGCGGGGCCAGACATTGACAATAGATCGTTGATCAAATCTCACCCCCTAAACATCTTCTGTAGTTCCCCTTGATTTTGATATTCTGTTCCTCTTCGCCCGAAGCTCTCATGTGTAACCACCCCTCGAACCCTGCCACTTCTGCACAATTACTTTTTTGGCAGAGTCAGAGTCCTTTGTTGGTTCTATGCAGTGGAGAAACGATTCGTGCTGCCCTTGTTCGTACCGCCAAGGAGAACCGATAGGAGCGGCTTTCCCAGATTTTCATTAGTCTTTTGGGAGTCACATGTTTTTAAAGGGATCCAAGGGAGTTAAGCGGTAATATTTCGGGGGTTTTTGTATAAATATTTGTGCAGTTGCGAAATAATCGCAGCATAAGCGTGTATAAATGTGACGAGAACAGGCACACCCTTTGCCACCATTTTGGGCAACACAATGAAAGCGTTTTCCAAGCAAACATGCCATATTTGTCCCCAATCGGGAAACCATCCTAAAATTCTGGGATATTACTTAGAATTGCAACCCTTAAGCTCTTAAAACTTAAAAGTTCATACTTCGCGTAGGATGAGGTCGAGAAAGAGTGACATGGGGCTGACCCAGGAGTACGTATATATAGTAAAAATTGTAATATGCAGATATAAAATTGGAAGATAAGGGCTATTCCCAGTTGTCGTGGAATCTCTGACTCATCCATGGAACTGTTTCTGGTCATAGCTTTAATTTTTATATTTCTTCTTAATAGCTTCCATTTGTATAGGCTCTCCCTTTATTCTCATTTTCAGTCCCAGATCCAAGATTTTCTTCGTCCTACATACATATTTATGTATGTATATATGTATATGTACATATATGTATATCTAATAATTTCTCTGATGTGATCCTCATTTTTGTCCCCTAATTATGTAGTTCATCAGACCACTAAGCGCGTGGAAGGCGTTGCGTAATCACTGCAGTTTTATTTTTTACTTCTGGCTATAATAATAATTTGATCTGATCCAGATTCGTCAATCTGCTTTATATGGTTATTCTCTATGATTCTGCGTTTTTGGTTTTCCCGTATCGTTAAAATTGTGGATTCCACAAGTGCATTATAGGCTCTGAGAACTAGGCGTCAAACAATTACATATACTTTACATACATATCTAATATACCCCTATACTCTTCGACCATGACTCATGCTGTACATCTTCATTCTTCATTCATCATTTCCATGATGGAAAATTTGGATACAAACTTTAATGGTAAATTGTTCTATGAAAACTCATGGTTCATTCCACAGATCGAGTATGGTGATAAGTACAAACATATATATGTACATATGTATGTACAGAGTAGGGGAGTCTTCAAGGGTAGTTGCAACGTATAAAAAGAAATCTCAATGTTGGGTAGCTTCTGTTAAACTTTTATAGATATAATAAGAAAGTAGAAGTATAATACGTATATAACAAGTAGCCCGTAGGTAACAGTCTTCGGTGTAAATACAGGAAGGAATGTCCCAAAATAAGCGGAAAATCAAAGTTTATAGAACCCACCAAATTAACTATGAAATTGTATTGTTCTTTTCAAATACATAATGAAACAGATTGACCATGTAAATAGCTGTAAGTATTAATCATATCATAATAATACCACAATAGCTTAAGAAAGTCTGAGAATCGAAGAGGTAACATAGTACATATGGGCATTTCCAATCTGGCTTTATGTTTCGCTCGTACGACAAAATATTATGAAGAAAAACGAATGTATATTTTTGCATAGTAATTAAGTTAAGTATTTAGTCAAAAAAGGACAACAATTGAACGTACGATTTGAAAGATAAACTCCAAAAAACTTACCTGACGTTACGTTATTAAAAAACAAGTGTGCTTTCGATAGTTGTCAGTAAACAAGAAAAACTCAAAGCATTCAACAACGCAGCTCGACTAACTACAAACAAAATATTACATTTTTCCTAGTACCATACATATTTCCGTACTGTACTTAGTGGTACTTATACAGTCGTCGGATAATGTCAAACATATCAAATCGCCCGACACCCACGATGAAAAGCATTTCATCAGTGCCGCGATCTTCTCGGGGCCGCAATTTTCTCAATGAGAATAAGGTGAGCTTGAGCACCCTGGAAAAATCAACGAGTAAAAAACTAGCAGCGAAGGAGCCGGTGCGTCCGGCATGGATGCCGACACCTATGCGTCGCTCGGATCCCGAGGTACGGGAATCGAAAGGAGGAAAACCCCCTCCAGTATCGGTATCCAGACAAAGCACCCGGGAAACCAGTATGACACGCAACCGCAACAACTCTCGCTCGCATTACCAATTGGGTGTGGACGCTCCAGAGTCTGGCCAACGCTTTGGCGGCTTTGAAAAGCGCAATCCTGTGGTTTATGACCCACAGAAAGATGTGGTACATTCGCCGGACAATTATACAGAGCGCTGCAATTCTTGCGGCATCCAACACAGCTCCACAAGCATCGGCATACAGACAGAGGATATCACCGATGAACGCTTTCTTACAAAAGCCCTGCAAAAGTAAGAAGAGAAAGCAGAAGAAACACATTTCTCAATTTACCATTTTTTTTGATCTTTTAGATGCAGTTTTGATGGTGGACCTATGCTGAGTGAGCTGACCAATAAATACGAAAACAACTACAAACAGTCCAGTCGGTACGATAAAAATGAAGACGAGGATCTGCTGTCACCTCGCACAAATGGCAAACAACAACAGCACAGTCGCTTCAACATGAATGAGTTGCAAATTGATTTGAAAACTGAAGTCGCTTCGGATGAGGAGGCTGTGCTCAGTGGCCGCAGCCGTTTTCCATCAAATGCTAGCACTACGTCCATGACATCCCAACGCCGCGAGCTCAAGCTGGAGAAGGAGAAGCGCGAAAAGGCTGCAACCAAGGAGCTTGCCGGTCTTAGTCTGCACGCGGAGCAGGATCGTGTTGGGCACTTGAACAGCGCACAGAAGCGCTATGATGTTCTCATCAATGAGCTAAATCACATGCCCATCACCTCACAGACTATGCGGGTGCGCAGCCGCAAGGCAGAAATCGACAAGGAGCTGGCTATCGTAGATGAGGAGATACGCGTCTACTCGAAGCCCAACTTATACATCAACTCTACCAAATATAAGTAAAGTTGATAGCTAACTGTACACGCAACATCATTAAGAACCCCCCTAACACTATGCACTATACCTTCGTTGCACATACATATGTACATTCTTTTTGAAATTAATCTTGTTTTGTGTTAACTATGTATTGGAGCACCTGAATGCAAGCAACTGAAGACTCCATTAAACACAACAGAAGTTCTACATTAAAAAATTATCTGCAAAAACTCACCTAAATGCTCTAATCTAATTGATGCGTGCCGTCATATCCGCCTGATTGAGACTTTCAAGAGTGCTGATCAGCCGGAAGCTTTGCATAAACTCGGACAGATTACAGTACTTCTAACGATATATATGCGTATGTACATATGTATGTTTATTTCCCAGAATCTAGAATAAATAAAATGATGTATTCTTTAGGTTCCGTAGTTCATAAGATCCAAATCTCGTTAACTATGTGTAAGTAAATATGTATGTATGTGTCTGAAATAGGTTCTAGTTCCTATCCACAAAAGATATTAATGTTTAAGCGAGTGAATATCAAATTAATATTATCAATGTTTTAGAACATATCACAATGGTATAAATTGGTAAGACTTTCCAACATTTTGTTTTCTCCATTTTGTTTCGGCTTTAACAATTCATAGACGGTGCGGTGCCGTGCCCCTTTGCAACGTCACAAAATGCCGACGGGACGTTGATGGATGCGCTGGCCGTCCGGGGGCGGCCTGGGGTGGGAGTGTCGTCTGTTGCTGAGCGCCAGACAGGGATAGCCATAGGAACAACGACACCCCTGTCACGTGAATACTATCTCTCTCTCTCTCTTTCTATCGCATGTCGCGGGCCTTGTGCCCATTGCTTGCAGGGGGTAGGCGTGGCCTGGCCGTGTGGTGAGTTCATTGCCCAGTTTATAACATATTATAATACAACAAATTTGTATTTGAAACCTAATGAAGAGAATTGAAGGAAAAGACTTGCATCTTGATATAAATTTGGACAAAGAAAAAGAGTAGGTGTTTTTTATATTGAACATATGTACATATGCATGTACATACATATGTACTTATGGGCATATACTTTGTCCGCCATTTTGAATACCAAAAAAATCAAAAACCGTTTAGTGTGGCCATCAATCGGGATTTTCTTTCGTTTTTCATTTGCAGTAATTTTTTTGCTCATGTGAGAAAATTATGCAGTGGGAGAGGGAACTTCTAGCTGGACATGTGACGTCGTGACTTGCAAAAGCCAAAAAAGTCGAACAGAATGAATAAAAATCGTTTTAAGGCATCGCACAAATTTATGTAGAAAAAAAATATATATATAGAATATAAATATATAAATATGTATATGTACATATAAATATATAAAATATACATACTCGTGCATAACTATTTCTAACTTCTTCAAAGACGACTGTTTTAATTTTGTTCTTTCCCTGCAAATTGGTGAAAACAGAACCTGAAACAAAATCAGGAAGTCATTTTTTACTGATTTTCGTTTTTTGAAATTCACATTGCATACCCCAATAGTCATGGATATGAATTTAATTAACGCCATTTTTAAGGACAATACAGGCTGCAAAGTATACATACGACAATGATATTCCAAATATTTGTCGGCAGAAGTTGACCAATTAATCATCGATTAATTCAATCGATTCAATCGACTTTAGCCAATCCCCTCAATCTTCCAAAATTTAAGGAAAATGTGAGTATTTATTATACGAGTATTGTACATATGTATTTATTTCATTATTCATTATTAATATTTAATTTTAGTTGCACTTGTTCATCCCGGACATTCTTCCGTGGGTAATCATGGAGAAGAACTTACCCATGACTGATCAGCTGCATTTTGAATCAGGTAACTGGTAAAGTATTCCAAGTCGGACGATTTACTTAAACATGTGGTTGGCTAAGTACTGCTATGTTTAGTCATTCCGATTAATTGTTCATCGATGCTAATTTCAGTATGTACCTGAAAGGTTTTCGTCAAAATGATGTAATTTCGGCGTGCGGACTAATAAATGGACTGAGAAAATTGAAAGATAATGTTATATCTTCTATCATTTACACGATTTGGGGCAGCTGCTCATCTTCAACTATCGAGAGGGGTGCAGATAACGGCAAGATCGGCGAATTTTTCTATATATCAACTCTGATTGCAGCAAACTTCATCAAATAGGTAGAAGAAACTAAAGGGTAGTGTTTAAAAATTAAATGGTTTTAATCGGTTTTAATCGGTTTTAATTAGTTCCTAATTAATTTATTATTATTTTGTCAATATGTAGCAAATCATATGTGTATGTACGTATCTATTAACGCATATGTGCGTTCTGTTCTGGGAGCCGCATCTAAAATACACGACTAAAACTCGATTTAAAAATATTTAACTGTACTTTAAGCCAGTGCTAAAATAATAAAACGTGTTTTTTTTTCGAAGCCTCCACACCTTAAGGGACTGTAATTAATAAAAAACCTCAGCTTACGGACGAAAACTTAGAATACTCCTGTGCTTTTGCAATATTTATAAGGCGTGGATTAGAAACTGTCGCTATATAGCATTTTCATAGGAGCAAATATTGAATTTTTAAGGGTCATAAGGGTTTCTTTTTTATATTTTTAAGGACTTAAGGAAGTAAAGGAAATGAGGAGCAAAGAGGAATTACAATTGGATCGTTTTCACAGTAGTGTGAGCTCTATTATGCTGTGGTGAGCAATATCCTATTACGGCGCGGGCCAGTTGATTTTTTATCAAGCTCGCAGAACAGATCGTATAGCGACCTCCCCACAAAGGATAAAAACCTGTAAATTGTATCCCCTACCGCACCCCTAACGTGTAATTTTTACTAGTTTGTTTTTTGAGTAATACATTATTATTGACGTGATTATTTGATGAGTATTTATATATTTATTCTATTAAAGCTTATTTAAGACAATAGCCATTAAAAATGCATCTCCTTTAATTTTTCATATTTCTACAACATTTTGGCAAGCTCCCTTCGATTTAGATTTCATGATATTTAAATATATTATCATTATTATTTACTTATTTTAGGATTTGCTTATGAGATAAGGCTGGTTCCACCAACTCCCCACTCCTGCCGTAACAGACTGAGCGTAACCGAGAGGTTCCCATGATAGAACAAAATCATGGCCCATTGTTGGAATCTGTCCGGAATTTGTTTTGCAAAAAGTCGTATAAAGCTATGTACTTCTACACGTATTTGACATTCTTAGGTACATCACCTTACATATGTAGGTATATATTCTCTCCTCTCTTCGATGGTTCAAACTACAAAAGCTCAATTAGCGCGGGAGAGAGAGAGAGCTTTAACAGAGATCATATGGGATATACATATGTAGTTTCCGCCTCCCTCGTTGTGGCACGTTTAGTCGATGTTTAGTTTTAATTGTTCTGATAACGATTTAAACGCTTTGCTCAATTGCACTCGCAATCAAAACCAGTCACAGGAATATTTTGATATTGGGAGAGAATTTCCCTAATCTGTCTTAATCGCCAGGCTAATACAAATTGTATGTGTGAATTACAGTGTGTGTTTTCGGTGATTTTCCATTCCAGAGTCAAAAAGTTCAGAGAGATAGAGAGAAAAAAGAGAGAGAGAGAGAGATTTTGTGTTTGTTTTGGTAGGCGCGTGTAGCTCTCCTTGATATGGCACCCATTTCTCTACATATCTCAATGGTGATTATACAAAATTCATCCAGTTTAATGGTAAAAAAAAGCTACCATACGTTTATTGTTCACTCCCACTTGTGAGGATTTATTTGTGTGTACATTTCGATTAACTCTACGCGATAAATAATGACATTGAATCGAATTGATGTTTGGTTTTACAACCGGTTTCACATAGGTTCTGCCCTAACACGCTATCTCTCGCTTATCATCTACCTGTTAGGCGAGTATTTTGATACACTCTTGTCTCGGACACGCGTGCAAATTAAACAACTGCGGTAGCGGATTGTGTTTTTAAAAAGTTTTTATTTTACTTCGAACTTCACTGATATAGATTTAAGTAGAGGGTCACAAAGGAATTCCGGGCCAAGGGATTGCGCGATCTTAATATTTAGCTAGACTTTGCGGTGTCGCTGCTGGATCAAGACTGATTTGAACTTTCTGATCTTTGCATCGTTGATCCCTTTCGGGAATCGTTTTTCTATAAACATTTCAATTGATTTCGCCATCCCGAGTATTAGATTTCGTCATCCAAAGAGAGAACTGTAAAAGGCCTAAAGTGCAGGATCTGCAGAAAGCCGGGAGTGAGATTGTTTATGAGAAGCCGGGTGTGGGCAAACATTGGTTTTCCATTTAGGCGAGTGTCAAAGAATGGGATTGCGGCGGGGGCGCTTGAGATTGTACATCTTAGAAATCAATTAGGCGGAGGCCCAAGATTGAAATTGTTTTCGTTTTGGAAAACCAAAGATTGTTTACAACTCGTATAAGAGCTCAATGGAATTGGGTACGTTAACTCCCCCCATTCTTAAATGTTTCGTCCCGATACATTTTGAAGTTCTGATAGAGCTCTAATTTCTTCTGACAGTATTTGAATGTTGCTTTCCACTATTTCTTCTGACGGTATTCTTATTGATTTAATAAGTACAAATTTGGTTAATTTATAGCAGAAGTAAAATAACATTAACAATATCAAAATGATTAAAAATAATGTTGTTAATGGTAAGGCCGTATTACCTAATGTTATAAGGGGATTTAAAATATTAACATTATCAAAAGAAAATTGCTTATCATTTGATTGTATATAATCAACTAATTCAAAATCGCTATATCTATGATGCGATATATATTTTAGAATTTTACCCTTATCATTTATGTGGCTTATATTATTTATTACAATTGTGTTGTTGAATATAAGGAGATACGATCCTAACAAAGTAGTATTGTCTACGATATTTTTGCCTGAAACTAATATGGCACCATCCTGAATGATGTCTATTTCTTTGTTTTTTTTCCCTTTTTTTAGTGCAGTTGGCTTTAAAGCCATTAAGTAAATTGGTGAAACAGGTACTCTTTAAATTTATTTGTGCGTAATTGTTAAAAGTTTCACTTTTAAAATTATTCATTAAATAGTATTTCTCCTTACATTCACAAACTTTTTCACTTATAACTAACATTCCATCATTTTGTGAGATGGCTCTTGCATGGTAAAACTTGCAAATATCTTTAATTTGAGGATATTTTATGTAAATGATTATTAAATCTGCATTTCGAATTATTTTAACCGTTGCAATGTCCAACAGATCAGACAGTTCAACATTATGTTTTTCATGCTTATAAATGTCCTCTATTTCGTTTTTATTTAAAATTTTTGTATTGAAAATGTTTACTTTTAAGAGGGTTATGGTATCAACTAAATTTAGTAGGTCAAAAGTTATTAATTTTAAACGATGCTTTCTCAGTATCGTTTCTTCATTGAAGATGACATTCTTTAATGAATTTGATAGCAATTCAATTTCTTTGAAAAATTTGGAATTTATTACAAATTGTTTATTATTATTTTCAGTTAATTCATTTACTTTATTTTGTATTTTCAAAAAGTCGTCATGATCAGGGCTGCCTGCTATCCATTTCCAAATGGTACCTAATTCATTTATTCCCCTTTCTTTCCGTTTTGGAACTAATTCTGAAATCATTAATTTTAATAGACTTAAGTCCATTGATATTTCCCACTCATCGTCTGAATTAATTGATTTGTTGACATATTTGGATTCTTTATCAATTATCTCTCTATAAAAACTCAAATTAGTAATATGGAAAAGTTCAGCGTATGTTTCATAAGTGTAAACGTCTCTGTCGTCTTTGAGCAATAGATAGTCACTATGCGTATAGTCAATTACTTCCGCAGTCGTCAATATAACAAAAGTCAGTATTAGTATATTCGCATACATTTTCTGGAAAAAATATTTAATATTTGATGTTATCTTTATGTATAATTCTGTTTCTATTGTTGATTATAATTTTATTCGGTCGATTTTCCTTAACTACCTGCTTTTTGTATCGGGATTGAAGTTTATTTCTTTCCCCGAATTTCTTTTCATAGACTACTTCTCCTATTTTATAATCTTTTTCTCTTCTATCTTTGTTATGTATCTTAAGCATTTTGGTCTGAGCTTCCTTAAGTAATATTGGATTATGTTTGTGTTCTATTTTGTTATACAATATGTCATATGGCATTTGATTGGTCGTTGAATGTATCGTCAGGTTATATTTCAGTGCCGCCCTTATTATTATTTCTGAATAATCTGTTAGATTTAGTTCATCCTTGATGCACCGCGCTATTTCTGTTAGTGTGGAATGTACCCTTTCTACCTGACCATTTGAGGTGCTGTGTCTGGGATCAGCATAATAAATAGTTAAGTTACTTCTTTGTATGAATGATCTAAATTGTGCTGAAGTAAAGCTTGGTTCGTTGTCAGTCATTAATGATGTTGCTAACGGAAAGTGTTGTAAAATTTCCATTACCTTATTTTCAATGTTTAATTTACTTTGAATTTCCTTGACCACCAAGTATTTGGAATAAGAATCTATACAAGTTATGAATGTTAGGTTTTGGGCATAGTATATGTCTAAGTGTAATTGATCTCCTTCTTTTGCTGGAATGGGAGCTTCCCCAATTGGAATTTTTACAGGGTGTCTCCGATATTTGTTTTTGTTACAGATCTCACAATTTTTTATATATTCTTTTAATTTTTTGTGCAGGTTTGGCCAATAATACAGCTTAGTTATTTGTTTGTAATTTTCGTCTAGTCCTCTATGGGCTCTGCAATGTGTTTCTTTTATAATTATAGCTTTATCTTCTGAATTTACTACATCTTGGAGGAACTTTCTTGTGAAGAGAAATTTATTTATGAAGTTTTCCTTTAGCTTATTTTGGATAAGGTATAAATCTTCTAAAGTGCAGTGTATTCCTGTGGTTAAGTGAGGCTGAATAAATTCTTTTAAAATGATTAGCAGATTGTCAACCGTATCAAATTCAATAATATGTCGGGTATTTTCATAAACTCTTACTAACTCATGAACTGTGAATCTCCCTTGCGCTAATAGTAGCTGCTGTTTAAATTGGTTTAGAGGCTTGCTAGTCTCTTGAATGACGTTTTCGAAACTACTCTCTGCTGAATGCTGAGTATTTATGTCTGATTCTGATTCTGTCTGGTCGACATCACTATCTGTCATATGATTTATTTTAATCCGAGATAACGCGTCCGCTACTACGTTAGTTGAGCCTGGCTTATAAATGATTTTTGGTGTGAAACTTTCTATGAAGTAATACCAACGTTTCATTTCAACATTTGGATTTTTTTGCGACATTGCAAAGGACAAAGGTTGGTGATCTGTATGTATTTCAATTCCACTCACTCCGTATAAATAATTTCGCAAATTTTTTAATGCCCATACAATAGCTAATAATTCTTTTTTATTAGTAGCATATAATTGCTCGGTTTTACTTAAAGTTTTAGAAATAAATGTTATGGGATTCCCATCTTGCGACAAAACTGCACCTATTGCTATGTCCGATGCATCTGTGGTTAATGTGAATTTTTTATTGTAATCTGGTTGTACTAATTCAATATGTGCTATTAAACTGTCCTTTAAATTATTAAATGCTCCAATTGCTGGTTCATCCAGCTGTATTAATGCTTTCTTGGATGCCCTTCGTGAAACTTTCCCATTTACTCCGCTCAGATATTTTGTTAAAGGTTTGGCAATTGTGGCATAATTTCGGACAAATTTTCTGTAATACCCTGTTAGTCCTAAGAAGCTACGTAGCTCTCTGATATTTTTAGGAATTGGATAGTTTTGTATTGTGGAGATTTTGTCTGGATCTGTTTTAATGATATTTTGGGAAACAATGTATCCCAGAAATTTGGTTTCCAATTGAAAGAATTTAGACTTTTCAAGTGAAATTTTCATGTTAGCGTTTTGCAATATCTGAATTATATGAATTAGATCTTTATAATGTTGTTCTATAGTTTTTGAAAATATTATTATATCGTCCATATAAACGTGACAAGTTTTCCCAACTTGTTCTCTAAGTATATCGTCCATTGCCCTTTGGAAAATTCTGGGAGCGTTCGTCAATCCCATAGGCATTCTTAGAAATTCATATTTGCCGTTATTTATGGAAAAAGATGTTTTTTCAATATCTGATTCCCTCATTAAAATCTGATAGAAACCTGACTCTAAGTCAATGGCCGAGAAATATTTCGCTTTACCTAAATTGGCAAGGATTACTGAAGGATCTTGCATAGGGTATCTATCCGGTATAGTGTTTTCATTAAGTTTCTTAAAGTCTATTACTAATCTATGCTTAGGAGTTCCGTCCTCATTTACTCCCTTCTTTGGTACTACTATTACCGGTGAATTATATGGGCTTTTACTAGGTCTGATTATACCTTCATCTAACATTTTACTTATTTCGTTATTAACGAAATCGTTAACCGAATAAGCGTATGGATACTGCTTGCCATATACCGGTCTATCGTGTTCAGTGTTAATCTCTCCTTTTATATCCGTTCTGAACGGTAACTGTAAATTTATATTGGCATGGTCTTCTTCGATGATAGATACCATTTTCTCTCTGAGATTTTCTAAATTGTCCTCTTTGTAGGTTATTGTGTTATACAATTTCATTTTTTTCAATTCAGAATTTGCATAATTTTGAATGTCGGATATTTCTACGACGGCGCGTTCAGGATTTTTGCATCCCAAACTTTTAAATTGTTTATTGTCGGATAATTCAACGACGGCGTGTTCAGGATTCTTTAATCCCAAACTATTCGAACTTTTAGTGTCGGATAATTCAACGACGGCGTGCTCAGGATATTTTAATCCCAAACTATTAAAACTTTGGATGTCGGATAATTCAACGACGGCGGGCTCAGGATATTTGAATCCCAAACTATTGACGGATAATTCTTCGTCGGCGTGCTCAGGATTTTTTGATCCCAAGCTATATAAACTTCCTTCTACCTTTACTGAATCGCTTTTCATTTCTTTTTCTTCTTCAAAATATTTTTTTATTATATATTCCTTCAACGGAAGGATGGTTTTTCCTTCTATAAAGGTTAATTTGTTTAAAGAAAGGACCTCGTCATATATTAGTTTCTCCTCATTGTCTTTATAACTTAAAGTCCCCTTTCCTGTATCAATAACCGCTCCGATTTTCTTTAATAGGTTAAATCCTATTAGTAAATCTGCCTCCATTCCATCTATTTCATAAAACACTTGCTTTGTGTTGAAAATTGTTATATTATGGAAATATTTAATTATTGAAAACCCATTCACTGTAGCAACTTTCTTATAGATTGGTAATTCATTTTTATTGTCGTAAATTCCTTTTTTTATATAACAGGAAGTTGCTCCCGTATCTATCAAAACTTTTAATTCTCTGTTTATTTTTTTGTCTACTCTTTTTAGGTAGGGCAGACCTACTTCGGGGGCTGATCTAAAAAATGATCCTCCTCAATGTTATTTATCCTCATTGCTTTATTAGCCGGTTGTTCCGACATTTCGTTTAGTTTTCGTTTCTGCGCTGGATTGTCGTTAGACTGATTATTCGGGACTACGTTTGCCCTAAAATGCTGGGCTTGGCTATAATTGTTATTATTTCTCCTAAAATAACCGTTAGTATTCTCCCGATAATTTCTATTGTTATTATTTCCCCTGAATTGATTGCTGTTCTGTCGGTTCCGGATTTGTATAGATTCGTCTACCTCCATTGGTTCTGGGGCCTGATTTTGTTGTCTATTACCCAAGAAATAGGGTTGTCCCCAAGACATGTTATTCCTCTGCAAATCCCTTTTTTGGTCGAATGGTGAACTGTTAGTCCTAGGTTGTCGTTGGTTGAATCTTAAGGTATTAAAATTATTATTCCCTGAATTTCTGGGACCGCTGAATTGGTAGGCAAATTGGGCCCGAATGTTATTAGATTGCAATTCCTGTACCTTTGCTAAGGCATTCGGTAAATCTGGGGGATTCAATGAAAATAGGATTTCAGCAATGCCGCCGTTTAGGCCAGTGACAAAAATGCGTAAGGCATTGTCTCTAATTTTTTTATTTGATTCCTTGGTGATCTCACTGTCCTTTCCGTGAGTCATTATTGTCTTATTTATTAACAAGGTCATTTTCTTGTTAACCTCGTTATAGAAATCTATAATTGAAAGGTTCCCTTGTCGGAGAACGCTTAATTCCTGTTCTATTATGTAAATAGGTCTCTTGTCACTGTAAACAAAGTCAAGCCGTGAAAGTATGGCATCAAAATTTAGAACTGTCCCGTGGTTGGTCAGTGCGTCATGTGCTGGTCCTGTTATTTTGTTTCTCAAAATTGTTAATGCAATATAATATTGCTTACTTCCTTTCTTATATAACTTCACTGCAGTTTCTGCAGCTTCCCTCCATCCTACATATTGGTTTAATCCACCATTAAAAATTGGTAGGGATTCTATTACCTTCAATGTGGTGTCGTCTCTTATTGTCTCGTCTATTGTTTCTGCCTGATAATCCGATACCTGATCGGATTTAGTTTCTATTTGTTGTTTTAAATTTACAATTTGCTCTTGTACTTGTGAAATTTGAAGTGCTATCAATTGTTTGACCAGATCTGCTGTGAGATCGGTCCTTGCTTGAGAGTTAATCATTTTTAGTTTTTCAAAATCTAAAGTTAGCTGATCCACTTTTAATTTTTCTTATATGTTAGTTTTTATAATCTTATATATCCTAATTGAACTTATATATTTATTAATACAACTCTTGCTCACGAAATATCCGGTAGGGGTCGTCCTTCTTAGTTTGGCAGATCTTCGAACGGGTCTTCCTTCTTAAATTTCTTTGCTCAGCTGGGTCTTCTGGGGGTCTTCCTTCTTTGGCTTCGCTGATCGTTTCACTTTCTTTGTATTTTGGTTTTGTCGGTTTTGTTGGTTTTGTTTTTTTAAAAACTTTGGGTTTCTTTGGTTTTTTTTGTATTTACGAATTGCCTTGATTAGCTTTTTGTTTTATTTGTATTTTGCGTTGTATTTGTATTTGTATTTGTATTTGTATTTGTATTTGTATTTGTATTTGTTTTTGCACACCCTAAGCTCCGGTTTGTTTCCTTTTTATCTCACTTTTTTTTATCTATATCACACAGTCACTCCGCGTTTTTAATTTTGAAGGATTTATTCCATTAATTAATTGTCCTTCGGGTTTCGGCACGACGCAACACTTTTATCATTCGGTGCTTTTTAGACAACGTCGCCCCACGTTGGGCGCCAATTAAACAACTGCGGTAGCGGATTGTGTTTTTAAAAAGTTTTTATTTTACTTCGAACTTCACTGATATAGATTTAAGTAGAGGGTCACAAAGGAATTCCGGGCCAAGGGATTGCGCGATCTTAATATTTAGCTAGACTTTGCGGTGTCGCTGCTGGATCAAGACTGATTTGAACTTTCTGATCTTTGCATCGTTGATCCCTTTCGGGAATCGTTTTTCTATAAACATTTCAATTGATTTCGCCATCCCGAGTATTAGATTTCGTCATCCAAAGAGAGAACTGTAAAAGGCCTAAAGTGCAGGATCTGCAGAAAGCCGGGAGTGAGATTGTTTATGAGAAGCCGGGTGTGGGCAAACATTGGTTTTCCATTTAGGCGAGTGTCAAAGAATGGGATTGCGGCGGGGGCGCTTGAGATTGTACATCTTAGAAATCAATTAGGCGGAGGCCCAAGATTGAAATTGTTTTCGTTTTGGAAAACCAAAGATTGTTTACAACTCGTATAAGAGCTCAATGGAATTGGGTACGTTAACTTGCACCCATACCAAGACGGAGATTATTTCGATGTAATAAACACACATATGAGTGGGAAGAGCGGAAAATACTCAATAAACAAACAAATTTGTAAAAACTTGTTTAAAAAAGGAATGAAATTAACGATAAATAAATATTTTTTATATAAGATTGGATAATTTTTATAAGCGTAATTTTATTAAATTATTTTGTAACATTTTTTTTATCGAAAAAAAGTATGAAATTGGGTTTACCAAAGTATTGGCACATTAGCTTTTAATTAATTAATATTTAAATTTAGGGTTAAAAAAGTAACTACCCTTCACAAAATAGCGAGGGAAGTATTTTCCGATCTCATCAAGTATATTATTAATTTCGGTTATATAAATAAATTCATTATTTATATATGTTCACATTCGGTTGCAAATGTATGCAAATCGTTTATAAGTAAAAATCGAACTTATTCATTTGTACATATGTATTTATTATTATAGCCGTACCTTGATGGTTCTTTTTCACTACGTATACTTTCCCGGCAATCACAAGCCATACAACAATCGTTTTTCTTAATCCCCATGACCAATGAAGACAGATCCGAGATCATTTTCGAGCAGGTAGAAATTTTTATTTTCCAAATGAGTTTGTAAACAATATTCTGGTTTTACCTTTACCTAACGGTAAACCAAGGGCAATCATAAAAATGTTGACTCTGGGCTGCACTTTTCGACCCGAAACCAGACCAGACCCGAACCGGCCGGACCATTGTTTGCTTTTGCTTTGCGTTTTGCCTGACTGTGTGTGTATGTGTGTATGTCCCAAAATAAATATGATAATTTTTATGCACGCGTTCATGCCACCACAAGTGGGGGACTGATAGTGGTGTCAGTGGTGGTAGTGGGCCACTATCACTGCGATAGAGCGTCGGGTCTGACGTCTGGAGAGTGGAAAAGTTCTATGAGTTCTCTGTGTGGCGCTATCAGTGTGATACGGGCTGCGTTGCGGAGTGGTGTATTCATAAGCACGTCAAGTGGAGGTTCTTAAGATTTATACTAGTAAGAATTTCGTGTGGGCGATCGTTCGGCTGACTGGCGTTCCTCTCTCATTGCAGCCTTTGTGACCAAAGAAGGAAGAAATAAAGAATACAGGTAGTTTGGTTCCCCCTGAAGTCCCGCTCCACATACACCATGCGCTTCCAGCGGCTCCTGCAAATGCGCAGATTAGCGACCACCGCCCCCCTGCTGCGTCCGCCCACACAGACGAAAACGACCGTAAGGACGATGGCGGGCAGCGGGGCGCCGATGCCGGAGCTCACACAGGTAGGCAACAAGTTTTCGTAGCACGGTCAGTTCTGAATGGTGGTGGTTGCAACGTGGGCGTGGCATCGCAAAAATCCAATCCGTTTTTTCAAATGGTGGTTGAGTCCCCCGGACACGCTCTGTGACATCACCACCATCTTCGAAAACCAGCATCCACTCCTCCCCCGTACAGTTGTGCTCAAAATGTATGCCATGCCACTCTTTTATTGTAGATCACGGACAATGTGCAACGTGGCAACTATGCCGCTCTGAGCGACAAGGATGTGACCCACTTTGAGAAGCTGCTGGGCAAGAATCATGTCCTTACCGAAGATCTGGAGGGATACAACATTTGCTTTCTCAAGCGGATACGTGGTATGCTAATGGGCATACGAAAAATAGGGATAACTCTTCTGTTTCCGTATCCTTTTCTTCTTTTTATACCCGATACTCAAAGAGAAGGGTATATTAGATTTGTCGGGAAAATGGATTTGTGTAACGCCCAGAAGGAAGCGTTTCCGACCCCATGAAGTATATATATTCTTGGTCAGCGTGAGCGCCTAGTTCTCAGAGACAATAAGAGCTAGAGCAACAAAATTTTTGATCCAGACTCCTGTGATATCTCACTGTTACAAGAGTATTTCAAAACTTCGCCCCGCCTTTCGCCCCGCAAAGGACCTAAACTCTGTGGCATCCACTTTTTTCAAGTCAGGAGAAAACCAAATAGAATTATAGAGAATGACTATCTTCTAGACTGCCGGATCTGAAACAGATCGTATCATTATTACAGCCAGAATGAGCCAAACAATTTCATTCTTTCTCTCTCTGCCTCTCTATAACACAAACGATTCCTGGTCGTCTTTGCCTATCGCTCCAGAAGAGCGCCTATATCTCAGAGACTATAAGAGCTAGAGCAACTAAATTTGGTATCCACACTCCTGAGATATCGCACTTGCACAAGTGTATTTAAAAATTTTGCACCACCGCCTTCCGCCCCTGCAAAGGACGAAAATCTTTGGCATCCCCAGATCTCAGACTATTAGAGCTAAAGTACCCAAGTTTGGTATCCACACACCTGTTAGATCTCACTGTTACAAGTTTATTTAAAAAGTTCGACCCACCCTCGTCCGCCCCCATTAAGAACGAAGATTTGTGTCATCAACAATTTTGAAGATACGAGAATGACCATATCTAGCAGTTGGCCGAATCTAGATCAGATCAGATTATAATTATAGTCAGAGGGAACAATTTGCAGTGGCTAAACACGACGCCCACGCGCTTACTTACTGGTTTATTACAATGGTTTTATTCATTTCATACAATTCTATTAGCTAAACTTTTCAATTTTTCGATGGATATATATGTAGTTCACCTAGTTTGTCGTCAAACATTCAGAACGATTTTCTTAACTTTCGTACAGCTTTTATGTTATCAAGAACTCTGTCTTCTTGTTTATTCTGATTGAGTCATTTATCGTTTCAGGCAACAGCAAGCTGGTCCTGAAGCCCGGCAACACTGAGGAAGTAGCCGCCATTCTGAGGCACTGCAACGAACGGAAGCTGGCCGTGGTGCCCCAGGGCGGCAATACGGGACTGGTGGGCGGGTCGGTGCCCATCTGTGACGAGATTGTGTTGTCCCTTCAGCGGCTGAACAAGGTGCTGTCTGTGGACGAGGTCACGGGCATTGCGGTCGTCGAGTCGGGCTGCATTCTGGAGAACTTCGACCAGCGGGCCAGGGACGTGGGTCTGACGGTACCGCTGGACCTGGGTGCCAAGGCCAGCTGCCACATCGGTGGAAATGTGTCGACGAATGCGGGCGGAGTGCGTGTGGTGAGGTACGGTAACCTGCACGGCTCTGTGCTGGGCGTGGAGGCTGTGCTGGCCAACGGCCAGGTGCTCGACTTGATGTCGAACTTTAAGAAGGACAATACGGGATACCATATGAAGCACCTGTTCATCGGGTCCGAGGGCACGCTGGGAGTGATCACGAAGCTTTCGATGCTGTGTCCACACTCCTCGAAGGCCGTCAACGTGGCCTTCATCGGGCTCAACTCGTTCGATGACGTCCTCAAAACGTTCGTCAGCGCCAAGCGTAACCTTGGGGAGATCCTCAGCTCCTGCGAGCTGATAGACGAGCGAGCCCTGAACACGGCTCTACAGCAGTTCAAGTTCCTCAAGTAAGTGGCTCTGATTCGGCAAGGATCTTCTAGAAACAAATATCATAGAATTATTCTTAATCTGTTTGTTCTGACAGCGCCCCCATCTCGGGCTTTCCCTTTTACATGCTAATCGAGACCTCGGGCAGCAACGGCGACCACGACGAGGAGAAGATCAATCAGTTTATCGGCGATGGTATGGAGAGGGGTGAAATCCAGGACGGCACTGTCACCGGCGATCCCGGCAAGGTGCAGGAGATCTGGAAGATACGCGAAATGGTACCCTTGGGGCTTATCGAGAAGAGCTTTTGCTTCAAGTACGACATCTCCCTGCCACTGCGCGATTTCTACAACATCGTGGACGTGATGCGGGAGCGCTGCGGCTCCCTGGCCACCATCGTGTGCGGCTACGGCCACCTGGGCGACTCCAACCTGCATCTGAATGTCTCCTGCGAAGAGTTCAACGACGAGATCTACAAGCGTGTCGAACCCTTCGTCTACGAGTACACCTCCAAGCTGAAGGGCAGCATTAGTGCCGAGCATGGCATAGGCTTCCTCAAGAAGGACTATCTACATTACTCGAAGAATGTGGTGGCCATCGACTGGATGCGCGAAATGAAGAAGCTCCTTGACCCTAACGGCATTCTTAACCCGTACAAGGTTCTCAACTAAGCTGTGCACCGAAATAAAGTGATAGATAAAGATACCATCTCAAAAATCCCCTTTCTTTGTGCTAATTTTTTTTGTTAATTGTAATTTGTAATCCGTGTAAAGTATACTTAATAAAATGTGAAAAAGATCATTTTTTTGGGCTCGGTGGAAAGAGTGACAATTTTTAATAATAGTAAAAATCGAACAATTTACATCACTGTAAAATTTATATTAAATGCTAGTATCGATTTTTATAACGTCCAGACGTCCCGAAGGAATCGTTTAAGCATCAATAGCCGAGTAGATAGAGCCATGTCTTGCTGTCCGTCCGTCCGTCTGTCTGTCTGTCCGTCTCTGTGAGCGCCTAGTGCTTAGAGACTATAAGAGCTAAAGCAACGACATTTTGTATCCAGACTTCTTTAATATGCCACTGTTACAAGTGTATTTCAAAATTTTGCCTCCTTGCACCCCCACAAAGGACGAAAATCTGTTGCATCCACAATTTCAAAGATACAAGAAAACCAAAAACGCAGAATCGTAAAAATGATTATATCTTCTAAACGGCAGAATCTGAACCAGATTCAGATCGTATCATTATAGCCAGAATGAAGAAAACAATTTTATTCGTTCTCGCTCTGTCTCTTTCTAACACACACGTTTCATGGTCGGCTTCACTTATCGATAAAAGTGAGCGCCTAGATTTCAGAGACTCTAAAAGCTAGAGCAACCAAAATTTGGTATCCACACTCCTATGATATCGAATCTACACAAGTGTATTTCAAAATTTTGCCCCACCCCCTTCCGCCACCGCAAAAGACGAAAATCTGTGGCATCAACAATTGGGAAGATACGAGAAAATTAAAGTCGCACAATCATAAAGCGCTTGATAGCCATACCTACCAGATTGCCGAACCTGGATCAGATCGGATTTGTATTATAGCCAAAAGTAACAAATTAATTTACGGTCGCTACGCAGTGCCCGACAAAACGTTCTGACTGATTTTCTTTCTCTCTCGCACGTACTTTTTGTAGTGTCGTTCAATGTTAGTGCCGTTCGGCGGAAGAGAGCCATACCGACTATGTATCGGGTATAAATGTAGAGTTGCGGTCGCAGCAGCAAATCACAACGTTCCCCCTAGTTAGTTTCTTGATATGTTTTCTTTCGTTTCTGCAACTGGAATATTAATGTATGTAGTTTAGCCTTACATCAAAGAAAAATTGTTCAAACGAACGTATAAATTGGGTCTTACAATCTATCGATTTTTTTCAGGCGGATTTTCAATTTCAGATCTTAACGAAAAGTACACAGTAACTCAGTGTCTGAACGCCAGAAAGCTCAAACGTGATTTAAGCACACAGCTTTCTGCGGCGAAACTTTAACGGTCGGTCAAGGGTGAAGTTCATGATCCACACAGAGAGAACGGAGAAAGCTCTAGCGTCTCTGTCGAGACGTAGCAGACGACAGAGGGCGGCTCAAGGTGGAGTGAGTGGCGCTGCTGCCAAAGCTCTGTTAACACACACACACGGTTCGGCTGGGGCAAAAGCACGCGCTCGTGGCACAGTGGGGCCTTCGGCCCTTTCAGCTTGCCAAGTGATAAATTACTGAACGAATAAAGATATTTTCTTCCAAATTTTTTTTGCATGAATAAAAATTGACAAAACATTATCAAAGTTGCACCGAAATGCGCATATTTTCCTTATAAAATGCAACATCATTTATTTTATTGATAAACAATTTTATTGGTCAATTTCTATATACATAATAATTTTATGTTTAAAAAAAACTTTTAAAAGCTAGGTCGAATTGTTTATTTTTATATTATTTATATATTTATTTTGTCATAGTTTTGGCTTCAAGGCCGCTCAAAAACTTCTTTGACTTTTGTCGCTTCTTTTCGGCTGAGGCCCCACTGTGCGTCGTTTCGCCGCTTTGGCATTTATCGCTGTGCGCCGTCCAACCGAGCGGCACTTTAAATCGGCAAAAGCTACAGTCCACACGTAGAGTTGGCAACGCTAGTGGCAGATCGCGATAAAAAAACATACTACAAAAGCACCGAAAAAAACATCAGAAACCAATTTGAATTCCCAAATACATATTTATTGTTTTGACAAAAAGGAAGCGACAAGATGAGCGGGTAAGTGGAACTAACGAAACAGAAAAAGTGAAAGAAATTAACACCCGTTGTTGAACCTGTTGCATTTCCCCTGTTTCTGCACAGAAAAGCTGATATTGCACTTATTGGACTGGCCGTGATGGGCCAGAATCTCATATTGAATATGGACGAGAAGGGGTTTGTTGTGTGCGCCTACAACCGCACGGTGGCCAAGGTCAAAGAGTTTCTCGCTAACGAGGCCAAAGGCACAAATGTGATTGGCGCTGAGTCACTGAAGGACATGGTCGAGAAGCTAAAAACGCCGCGAAAAATTATGCTGTTGGTCAAGGGTAAGTTGAAATTAAGTGAAATTTTTGGTTTTAAAACCTGCTGTTTTAAGCGCTTGGCTTGTATTTTTTTTTTTTTTGGAGTGGCGTGAAGCGATCGCTTTTGTACCCTGCTCCTCTACGTGTGTGAGTGTTTTTATGTTTGTGTGGAAGTCAAAGCAATGTCATTATTCGGTTTATATCTGCTGTTTTTTTTGTTTGTTTGCAAGTTGAACGCAATGTGCGGGATAGGGCATGGCATGTAAGAAATGGAGAGAGAGAGAGGGAGAGCGTATTCACTAAGCTTTCGATTAAACGATATCAACGGTTGTTGTTGTAATCTCAGTATTCCTTTTCAGCTGTGATTTGAGTAGTGCGATTTTTGTATGCAATGGAGACGAGGCATGGGTCTAAAAGCACGAATCCACCAAAATACATGCAAAACTAAATATGTAATTTTTTAGAGCTCCACTCTAAAGTAAAGAAGAGCAAGTCTGTACTAAAGAAACAACAACCGTTACAACGCAACCATTAAATATTCATAAGCCGGCTCATAAACTTGCACAACAGATGCAATCACTTTCACAGCTACTCCTCACCCACACATACTACGTTAAATACATGGAGTGACTTTCACTGTTGCTCCACACAAGTGATTCTCATCTCTACTGCAAATTGCACACACATGCACGCACGCGTTGGCAAATATTGATGCTCTCGTATGCTAATCAACGTGCGCGACTTATCTCTGCTATATGGAACGCAAAGACTGCTCGCCTACGAACCGAAATTCTTTGACATTCATTATAGGTCACACCTGAAGAGGCAGGCTATTGCAGAGGGGATTTCCTCGCTCTCAACTCTCTTCAGCCATCCCCTTCGCTCGTTTATCCCGCCAATCTTTCACACACTGCCAGTGATTCATTCTTATTAAATACATACTTATGTACATACTATGTACTTGTGTACATCCCTAAAAACGACCGCTAGATAGATAGATGAAATGCTATCACAAATACTTGTTGGCCTTATCTGGGGTTGGAGAAGTGCTTGGCTCGCATAGTCCGGCAAGGAACGACTTGGAGGTGACCTCAAATCAAGGTTAGCCATGCTTCGGGCTGGCTGCGTGACTTTTTCAATCGGCAGAACAGCCAATTAACCTTGACTAATCGTGCTCTATGCTTTTCCAATCCCGTTCCAGCCGGCAGCGCCGTCGACGACTTCATCGAGCAACTAGTGCCGCTGCTTTCCCGCGGCGATGTGATTATTGATGGCGGCAACTCTGAGTACCAGGACACATCGCGTCGCTGCGCCGAGTTGGAGAAGCTGGGACTGCTTTTTGTGGGCTCAGGCGTCAGCGGAGGCGAGGAGGGTGCCCGTCACGGACCCTCCCTGATGCCCGGCGGACACGAAGCCGCCTGGCCCCTGATTAAGCCTATCTTTCAGGCCATCTGCGCCAAGGCTGATGGCGAGCCCTGTTGTGAGTGGGTCGGCGATGGGGGTGCGGGCCACTTTGTCAAGATGGTGCACAATGGCATCGAGTATGGAGACATGCAGTTAATCTGCGAGGCCTACCACATTATGCAGAGCCTGGGTCTGTCCGCCACCCAGATGGCTGATGAGTTCGGCAAGTGGAACTCGGCCGAGCTAGACTCTTTCCTCATCGAGATCACGCGCGACATTCTGAAGTACAAAGACACCAAGGGACACCTGCTGGAACGGATTCGGGATACGGCCGGCCAGAAGGGTACGGGCAAATGGACTGCCATTGCCGCCCTACAATACGGCGTTCCCGTGACGCTCATTGGCGAGGCTGTCTTCTCCCGCTGCCTATCCGCCCTCAAGCAGGAGCGCGTCCATGCTAGCGGTGTGCTCAAGGGTTCCTCAGTGAAGCCGAGCGTTGCAAATGTGACAAAGTTCCTCGACGACATCAAGCACGCTCTGTACTGCTCCAAAATTGTTAGTTACGCGCAGGGATTTATGCTGATGCGGGAGGCGGCCAAGGAAAACAACTGGAGGCTGAACTACGGTGGTATTGCGCTGATGTGGCGCGGCGGCTGCATCATACGCAGCGTCTTTCTGGGAAACATCAAGGACGCGTACACATCGCAGCCGCAGCTGTCCAACCTCCTGCTGGACGACTTCTTCAAGAAGGCCATTGAGCGAGGCCAGGACTCGTGGCGCGAGGTGGTGGCCAATTCCTTCCGCTGGGGCATTCCAGTGCCAGCGCTCTCCACCGCCCTAAGCTTCTACGACGGCTATCGCACCGCCAAGCTTCCCGCAAATCTTCTCCAGGCCCAGCGAGACTACTTTGGGGCCCACACCTACGAGCTGCTTGGCGACGAGGGCAAGTTCCATCACACCAACTGGACGGGCACCGGCGGCAATGTATCGGCCAGTACCTATCAGGCATAGGCGTTGATACCGTCCCCCCGCACACACCAAACCCACATTCCATGTCATAAGCTGGTGTTCGGGCTGCTCCCTGATACTAGTTGGAAGTTAAAATTGTTTTTTTTTAGGGTAGCAGTACCTATTTATAACGTTAATATATATGTATGTATATATAATTTCATATTGTTTTGAAACATAATATTAAATTGGTGTTTTTTTGCTAGCAAACTATAGCGATTCCTTCACTGGTGGTTCAAAAATAAGGCCTACATATATAACTTGGCTTCCATAAAATCATCAACAATGAGCAAAAAGCTTTATCCAGTTAGAATTGTGTAGTAACGAGTCTTTCGAGTTGTAAATATATATATTATTAATCTGAGAACAGGCTTTTGTACACCAGGGGCAAGCCCTCCTTGGCGGCATCCTCTCAGTCATCCAAGGGGCCTAGTGTTTTCTTGTTCTCGATCACCAGCTTGTCCGCCGTGTAGAGGTGGCCGATGATGACCTACAAGCGTCATGGAATAGGTTAACAAACCGAAATACTTATCACACTGCCGTATGTAGAACCCGATCCGATAAGGCAGCAGTCAGTGACAACGCGCGCACGCGGTCAGACGCGCTGATGCACCCACTCACCTGCCGCCGTATCAGCTCCAGATTCTGTTTGCCGGCCTCCATTTTTCGATCGATTTCAGCAAAGTCTCGGATGGCCTTGTTGGCGCGGAATGTGTCGCGTATCTTGCGAACAGCGTACATTCTATGGATGGGAGTGAGATAGGGTGTAATTATCACAATTATCGTGAGTCTATTTCATCACACACGAACCTAAAGTTGTAAGCAGGCAGCTTTTCAGATTCCCGCATTAAATTCCGGTACAGCGTGATGGCCTGGCGACGTGTTGACATCTTGGTATGCTGAGCAGGTGAAGCAGGGGGAAAGCGAATGGGCAAGTGGCGCGTGCTGCGTGTAATTCTATGCGCGCTTTAATTAATAATATCGTGTTATTGTCGATTTTTACTGTGAATGGGGGAGTTTCTGTTTTCTCTATTTTGTGCCGCTTGATGACATAAAAATTTACATGATAGCAGAAGGTGGGGAACGGGAAAATACCAAAATACCACCATAAAATACAAAAATTCTATCTGCACAAACAGCTGCTGCAAAATGTGTGGTATTTTTGGGGCTATGGTCACACTGACAATTGTCCATGCATTACTAATTGAGAATAACGTCGCTGCACTATACTATGTTCCAAGTTTAACGAATAGCATGATAGTAAATATACATCATTTAAGACCAATGATTATCAAGAAATGGTATCGGAGAATATTTGTATATGTCTGAAGATGTGTCTAGCATATACCAGCATATATACCTACCACAAATGCACTTTGATTAGGTATTAAGCGAGTAGGTATTTAGAAAAAAGACTGTTTAATGATCTATTATATAATCTACTACACATATTTTTGTACATGCATTCATTAACCTATTAATTTGGTTAATTCATAAATGGTTTGGTAATTGTGAGACTCGTTATAAATCAGCATTTTTCTGGTCCTGCGCTCATGGTCACACCGTCAGTGGCGACGATAGTTTTCCCAAATAACTATAATTTTCGTGTTGTTTGTTGTTCTTTTTTTGTTCGTTACATAGCACGCTGAAAACAAATACCTTAAGGTAAATAAAAAAAACAGCTGAATAAAAATGTAATAATGATAAGTTCTCGGCGAGAAAGAATAAATCACTGTAATGCGGGCCCTCACGTCCAGAAAAGACTAAATACCTATGTCTCTCATTCAAAACTATTCCCCATGCATTGCTTATTGTGTATGCCCAACTAGAGGAAGATTGAGAGAGAGAAAATTGAAAATCGGCGCTAAAAAAATAGAAAAATACTAGTTACTAGTGAGAAAACATGACGCATTGTTTGCATTTGTGTGCGCGCGTGTGAACCCCGTCTATGTGTGTGTGAGAAAGTGGAAAGAACACTGGACTGATAATGCGTCGGTTGCCCGCAATTCAGCAGTAAACCAAATAAGGTTTTCACTGCTAAAAAACTGCGTGTGTTCTGTGCGTAATGTACTCGAATAAGCAAGAACAAAAATAGGGCCATCAATTTCGTCAGATCCAAACAACCACTCACACAGCTAAACGAATACGCCAACATACATACACATACGCATTGTATCGATAGCGATACTCCCCGGCCCAATAGTGTGGAGCATATGCAGTTACGGTAAAGGCATTGTAATAAGGCCATAAGACACACCGGCCTCCCCTGGTAGCATAATAACTGGCTCGTCTGCAGCTACCTCTCTTTCCAGCTGGAACCGTTAATGCTACAATAAAGAGACAGTTCTCTCGCTCTGCCCCACGATTTTCTCTCCCGCTCCACCAAGGCACACACACCTATCGATAGTACCAATTCGATACTCTCCTGTTTCGATAGTGTGGAACATATGCAGTTACGGTTTTCTTGCTTGCCCGCTCCATTATCCGCTGACAGCCTGTTAGATGTAAATTGTGTAATATTTTTCAAATCTTAAAGTATTCACCGAGTGCGCTTAATTGGGCCCGAGGCCTGCCAACGCTAGCTCTCATACACTGGTTGTGAAAACCGAATGGCGGGGAACGCTGTGTAAGCTGATTGCATGCAATTTGATTAAAACCGAGATCGAGTATTCGGCGGCTCTCATCTAATCTGCATATTGGCAAATCGCCATAAAAATGCAACTTTTTGTTCTCGGTTTGCGTGGTTTTTTAACCAGCCATTATTTTTTGATTGTTTTATCGCTACCTACGTTGGGTCGCTTTCGCTGTGACGTTATCTTATGGCGGGCGGAGCACCTATCTGACCGTGGGGGGCTGTGTCAAAACCGTTTGCGGGCTGAAGCGATGAAACACACATATTATTAATAATTTGTATCTTTGTGTCAAACTCCAGTCAGAGATCAGCCCAATCAGAATGCTTTCGCTGCAGAATCAACGGCAACCGAAAACAAGCGCCCTGGTGGACGACTATGAGATCTCGGACACGGTGCTTGGCCTGGGCATCAACGGCAAGGTAGTACAGTGCACCAATCGACGCACCAAACAGAACTATGCACTCAAGGTGTTGCTGGACAATGAGAAAGCCCGGCGTGAGGTCGATCTCCATTGGCGTGTGAGTGGCTGCAAGCACATCGTCAACATCATTGATGTCTATGAAAACACGTACAGCGGTCGAAAGTGTCTGTTGGTTGTGATGGAATGCATGGAGGGCGGTGAGCTCTTCCAGCGCATTCAGGACAAGGCCGATGGGGCCTTTACGGAACGCGAGGCGGCACAGATAATGCACGAGATATGTGCGGCAATAGACTATCTGCACAGTCGCGATATCGCGCATCGCGATCTTAAGCCCGAGAACTTGCTCTACACCACATCCCAGCCAAATGCGATCCTGAAGCTGACAGACTTCGGTTTTGCAAAAGAGACCTTCACCAATGACACCCTCCAAACGCCCTGCTATACACCGTACTATGTTGGTGAGTGAGAATAAAGGAATCGATCGATTGGATCCTGTTCTGGCTGCTTATTCAAATTCTATTTTATGCAGCGCCCGAAGTACTGGGCCCTGAGAAATACGACAAAAGCTGCGACATCTGGTCGCTGGGAGTGGTCATGTACATTATAATGTGCGGCTTTCCGCCGTTCTACAGCAACAATGGTTTAGCCATTTCGCCGGGTATGAAGAAGCGCATCCGCACAGGGCAGTACGATTTTCCCGATCCGGAATGGACGAACGTTAGCCAGTCGGCTAAGGATTTGATCAAGGGCATGCTGAACGTGGACCCCAGCAAGCGTTTGCGCATCCAAGACGTAATACGCAACAAGTGGATTGCCCAGTACAATGCCGTGCCACAAACACCTCTGTGCACTGGCCGCATGCTCAAGGAGGGTGAGGAGACCTGGCCGGAGGTACAAGAGGAAATGACCCGCTCCCTGGCCACCATGCGAGTGGACTACGATCAGGTAAGTCGATTACGCTTGGCTTAGAGTAACAAACTAATTCTCCTCTCTTTGGCAGATGCAAATTAAGGCGCTGGACAAGTCGAACAATCCACTCCTGACAAAGCGGAGGAAAAAGATTGAGGAGATCTATGGAACAAATGCTACGGCACGGAACTAGACAAAGCAAACAGAGCAACACATACTGCTACGGCCAATCTCCGAGTGAGAGTGAGGTATAGGTAGAAATAGAAGGAGGAGTAGGGCACGACAGAGGCCATCAAATCAGACGATGGTTGTTTTTACCACTTAAGAGGACAACGTTGCAGTACGCTATAATTACTGCTATAACTATCGACAGCAACAGCAACTACTACTATAACTAAAACTACTCCATCATGCTATGTTACGTTACGTTTTCTTTCTTTGTCCATTATCTAATGTATGTATAATCCATTTCCAAAAAAAAAAGGTTCTTAGGGTATATTTTTAGTCTGGAAAGTGCTCTTTTTTGAGAAGAAAAACATACTTAAAAAAACTCTTTACTAAGCAAAAAAAAAAAGAAACGTGTAGAAAGCCTAGAGCAAGCCTAGCCCAGCTAGCCCTGCAGTGAGAACATGTTTCCAGTTTTAGCTGGAGAAATGCAGAAATTTCGTATTCTTCAGTCGCGTGAAATGTTCTCGTTTCCGTTTGTAAACGTGCAATTTGTAATGTACTTTTTTTTATTAGTGTGTACTTTTCACTTTTGATTGTATACATATATAAATATGTATATATATATAAATTTATATATATGTGTGTATGTATGTACAAAGATCAATATACATACATATGTATTATCTATCTGTGTGCGTATGGTATACAGAATTCAATTGCAAAAACGATCATAAAGCCAGTTGACGTTAACGTTAACCCATGCTGCTGCTGCAAATTTCAGTGTTGGTTGGTTGTCATTTCATTTGCTGACTCTGCAAGCGATATACCATTTTACCGTATAGCGTATTTGTAGTTTATAAACAAAACAAAAACGAAAAAACCAAGCTTATTTTACTATGATTAAATTCAAAAAGTATATACACGAAAATGATTTAATTATTTGTAAACGAAGAAGGGGTCGCTGATTGGTTGCATTTCCAAAAATTAGTCAGTGCTATAACAAGAAAGAAGCCAGTTCTAGCTTCAGAGGACGTACACATACATATGAGCAGTTTATTCAAAGAACATTAATTCACGTTTAAATGCCAAGTATTAAGTTTACTAGTGTCTTTTACGTGTACAAATCGAAGGTACATATTTCAGTTTAATTCTTCTGCTTTCGACATCTTGTAGGTCTGTATTTCGGTGGCCTCTGCTGAGAAGGCTGGAAATAATTGATCAACGCATGAGGTAGGTGGCACCAATTTTTGGTCCTTTGGGTATATCCTTCCATAAGCTTGACGGACTGATGACATATTAACGATGTGGATTAATTGAAGTCGATTATTTATAAAGCAGCAGGAATTATGGCTATATCGATTCGGCATTTGTGATAAACAAGAATAAATGGACAAGGAAAATAATGAAATCCTTCAGTTTACTTCCTGGAGAGCTTTTGGCCCAGGGCAACCTGGGGACAGTTGAAGAATAGTTTCCATGCTAAGAATTTGTGGATTTTTCTTTATTGATGGTTTAACAGTGCAACCTAGATAATACATACATTTTTATATTGTACGTGCAGACATATTCGTACATGTCTTTAACTTTGCGCGGGTGTATGGGGAGTGAGTAAAGTAACCCATGGTTTATAAATATTAATAAGATGGGGTATTTTCGCTCCTCGAGTCGCATATTGCTTTTGCCACTACCTAACCTTGATGTAACCTTTAGTTTTATAAAACGACAAAAAAGTGGTGGTGGAGTAACTGAGTTTGGGGTGAGGGACAGGCGACTGAGAGGAATACGGAAATAACTATGGATGGTATTCCTGAAAAGATTTCGTGGATTAATAAGCTTTTCGCAGCTGTTTCATGCAAATGGCACAGTGCGTACAGCCGGCAATTCGGACTCGATTCTACTTCGAAGCAGGTTTCGCCTAGATTATTTGGAAGATTTGGAACACATTTGCTGGTTTTTGTGTCATATATTTTTTTGTGATTTCAATAGGAAGAAAATGGTATTTTGTGTTCGTGTAATGCTTATTTATATATAATCTACCACATTTAAAAAATATTCTGGGTTTCAAGCGATAGTTTTTTTCGATGGCTTTGTTATTATATTCTCTTTAATAAGATCTCATTAATAAACCTGTTGGGTGCTGCTCTCTTTCAGGAATACCCTTATTAATGTCCCAGCAGTTTTTCAGGTGTTGTGTCTCGTGTGTGTCGTGTGTGGTGAGTGCTGCATTAATTTCTAGTTCGAATTTCGAACCAACGGCTACATGGCTACGACTACTACAATAGTTAACAATCGACATGGATACACATGTAGTAAGATAGCTATTCTAACGGTTTCTCTTCGAATTGAGCCAACATCCGACACTTTTTCCTTATTCGCTTTTGTTTGGATGGCACTTATCAATTTACAAAAAATTTCTGGAAGAACAACATCCGCTTAGAAAAATACATTTGGTTATACCCCTTTCTGGTTCCTCTCTTGTATTGCGATTCCTATAGCCATTTCTTGTTTATTTTTTGGTTTTTTTTAGTATGTGTGCATTTCTGATTCTGTTCTAGCCTTAATTTTAGTTTTAATGGCAGATAAACGAGATTCGCCGTAGTTCACGGGTCCTCCCACCTAATAGTTGAACTTTAAATTCCTGCATTCGGTTCCCGTGTGCCTGGTTGTCCTTATAAACATCATTTCATTAATTATCCTCCTCCTCCTCCTATTGGTTTCCGTCTCTATTTCCTATTTCCTTTTAGCTATAGTTTTGTAAACTGAAGGTACATTTTCCACCAATGGCGAAGCGCGGCGCACCGTTTTCGCCCTCCGTCGAGACTTAATCTCCGGATCTCCCTTATAGGAAGCTGTCACAACTATTCTCCGCCTCACTATTCGAGCAGTCCATGGCCGGCAAGGATCCGCCACGGCGATAGGCCAACTGCCGCTTCTCCGGTTCGCTTCTCTGGCTACTGGAGCTGGACGTACACCCGCTCATACTCCCGCTGGCACTAGCCAGACTTCCGCTCAGGTAACTCCCGCGGCGGCTGGATGTGGATGGAGTGTCGGGCTGCGCAACGGCGTTGAGACGGGGAAAGTATTTGTATAGCTCCAGCAGTTGGTTGAGCTTGTGGTGGGGCTTGTACTCTACATCGTCCAGGGACTGGGCTGCCGAGCTGCTGCTGCTCAGCGGTGTCCAGAAGGTGAGGCCGAGCTGGGCCAAATGACCTCCCTTGATCGGGAAATGGAGCGCTCGTTAACATTTAGTGTCAATGGCAAGATGGAAATAACAGAAACACCCACCTTGATGTCCGTCTCCAGCTTGTCGCCGATCATGGCGCACTCTTGCGGCTTGACGCTGAGGAAATTGCAGGCCGCATAGAAGATCTCCGGATGGGGCTTCTCCCAGGGCAGGTCCGAGGAGACCAGCACGCAATCAAAGTACCCGCGCACATTCAGTCGGGCCACCTTCTCCCACTGGGCATTCGAAGGCCCGTTCGTGATGAGGGCCAGGGCATAGCCGGCCCGACGCATTCGCGTCAGCAGCTGCACATAGTCCGCCGGCACGGCCAGATAGCGGTATCGCAACCGTAGCCACTGTGGATAGATCTCATCCGCGAGGTGCTTGTACTTGGGCAGCAGCGACTCCCGCCACAGGTGGGTGCGCCACGAGTCCAGTGAGGTCTGCGTGTTGTCCGGACAGCGGCGGAAGGATTTCAAAAAAGTCTGCGTGGCCAGAGAGGCATCATCTTTGGTGAAATGGTACTGCGACTCAAGTAGATCTGAGAGCTGTTAATAAAAGAAACACAAACACACAAACAAATGGCTTGTTAATTACCAGAAACGAGTCATTGTCGTAATCGTATTCCGCCGTATCAGTGCATTGATCTAACTGCACATACACTCATGCACATGCACTCGTACACAAACACACACAGTTGCACACTTGACAAACGAATATTTTTGGGTGCGCGCGTGCGACGTGCTTGGCCGCATCCGTCCGGGTCGGGTGGGGTGCTTCGACGACGTAACAGCCAGCGCCACTCAGCAGTGGAAAATTTTCTTGACGCTGCCTCACAGCGCGCGCACCAAATTCGGCGGGCGGCCGCCCTTTCCCAAGTCGGATCCTAAAAATATTCACCTTGCGTATGGCTTTAGAGTCGCCGGCTCTGGTCGGGATCAGAGTGTTGTCCAGGTCAAAATAGAAGGCAGAGATCTTCGCACATTTTGACTCAAAAAGTGTGGTCTGCTTGGAGGAGAGTTTACTAGCTGCCATGGGGGCCTCACACAAACTCGGAAGTTATTTGGACGGGGTCAATGGGGAAAAAATCAAGACGAGTCAAATGGGAATTGGGGAATTATTCGAAATGTTCGAAAATCGCGCGCAAAACAGGCCCTGGTTATTGTTGATGCAATTCGGTTTGCTCAAAGTTGGACGCGGCAACTAAATTTAACAAAAACGTTGGACTAAAGTTAAAAAGGGGGAACAGGTGAGTGTAGCGAGAGCGAAGCTATGACTGAAAGAAAGTGCTCTCGGGCCATGGGTCTCGCGACGCACGGCCGGACAGTTGACGGTGAAAGTCTGTGCACAGTGAGCGCATATCAATCAATTTATTGACTCAAATTGAGAAACTTCAATGAGCAAATACTTGGGGAGACTGAGGCGTGTCGCCTATGCACAAACTTTTTTTTACCTAGTATTGCATACTTCAGTTGATTGAAACTGATATCATCTCGCCTACCATCATAACATTTACACAGTCAACATGTGCTTCCCGCGCCCATTTTGTGCATTGATTTCTGTATGGCACTGTTCGTTCGAGCGACTTGCCTTGCTCTTGGCCAGTGTGCGCGAACGGTGCGACAATATATCAGTGGCAGAGTGCGCGCTGCCGCCAGCCATGAGTCAGAGCGAGCGCACAATACATGAAGAAGGGGTGGGTTTTTCCAGCTGCTCGAAGTAATTTATAATGGTGCGCAGTAATTAACAAACTTGTTTTCGTTTTATTTCAGGAAGAAAAACAAAACTTCTTTGTTGGCTAAAAATACAGTTCTTTTAAAGACTTACAGCACTGTCCAGAGATATTCATATCGATATATCGCTTCCGATAGTTCCACTCGCGTTATTTCGCTAGTTCCCAGTTGATCATCCCTAGGACTCTAGAAAATATTTCTGTGGCGCGACGCAATTTTTGTAGCCGTTCTCAAAGGTAGTGCTGTTCCAAAATGAGCACTAAACCGGACTTAAACCATTCGGATCTGAGCATAGAACTGCTGGCTCCAGGTTGGTAATTTCTGCCTTACCTGCAAATACTTTCTTATCTGATAATCGCCTTTTTGCTCATAGAAACAATACTAAAAACTGACGACGATGTAGCATCGGGGCCCATATTGACACAGCAACAGCAGAAAAAAGTGGCGGAGGATCCAGCCGGCTCCTCTAAGCCGGACGAGCTCATTTCGCTAGAGACGCTCCGCGAATCGCCAGTGCAATGGCCCGAGAGATGTAAGTAGTTACAGTGTATTTCGTTGGCGCCCTTTTCTAACGTGTGTTCGCGCCTTGCCCCTAGTCCCTGGCATGGATGAATTCCTCACAATGTGCGATACACCTATGTACTTACCCAGCGTTGAGCCCATTTCCACCTTAACCGCCGAGGACATGGCAAAAATAAACCGTGAGTATCACACAAAATAATAATAATTCAGAGATTAAATAGAAAGGAAAACCCCATATGTATAGGTCTGTCAAAGATGGCGCCCGATGAATTGATCGCGAAGATCAAGAGCATGCATGATGAAATCTATCAACTGGGCCTTTTAGAGGCCAAGGAGATGTCCCGAGGCAAGCTGTTGGAAATCTTCGATCGCGATCGTAATCCCAAGCGTCACACCTGACCCAAATTACGCCATTTAAGAGGCGTATGGGATGGGACCACCCTCAGACCTTTTTCTGGTGCCCATCCGAAGAATCCTTAGCTCTTAGTATATCTTTTTTTGTTAATACATACCTACCCTATACAACGCGTGTTTGAACCTTTGTAGATTGCACGCCTACCGACCAGCAAAATAATATTATTTCTATTGTTAATTTATGGCGATAATGGTTGCAACATTATACAGTGCCTGCAAAAAATATTACTACATTGCACGCGCCGACCACCGAAAGAAAACTATTTATAAGAAAAATTGATTGCAACCGTAACGTTTATGTTTATTAAAGCATTGATTACATGGACAACTACCAGAGTGTGTGTGTGGGCTTTCCGAAGGAACTTCTAATCCTTCAGAATCGAAAGGAAGTGTGGCTTTGATAGAGTGGGAGAAGGCACAGATCTGATAAATTCCACTATGCATATCCTGCGTATATATAGACTAAATATACATATATTAACGCAACAATCCAACCACTACGTGATGTGTGTGAATAATCCTTTGATCCTTTCTTCTATTGGCTAAAAATACTATATGTGGAAGCCCCTACCCGCTCCCTACTCCTGCCACTGCATCCCAAAACGCTGCTCGAATGTGATTCGATTATAGACTCCGGCATCGGCCAGCTGCATGGGATCCGTGTAGTAGGCAAACCGCCTGATATCCATCATGGCCACATCGAACATCTGCTTCCAGCTGGTCAGATCCGTCACACTCATGTGTATGGGAAGCTGCGGATCGGGTATATCGATGGCTGCCTGCAAACGGTCAAAAGCCTCGGCAATGGGCCCCACCGACAGATTCACCCAGTACTCGCCCGGAAAGCGTTTATTCTCACAGAACGGCGCCCCCTTACGCATGATGAAAACCAGCATTAGTATCTCGTAGCGCTCGGAGTTCTCGTAGAATCGCTTGGTGCGCGTTTTTTCCACAAAGTCGATTAGTAGGATCAGCGGTGTATAGTTCTGTAGATGCATCAACAGCTCCCGGTCCGTCCACAAGTATCGTCCGCCCTTGACACTCAGCAGGCTCATATTTCCGGAAAGTTGATGATGTGGCTGCTGTTGCTGTTGCGGATGATGGTGCTGCTGCTGTTGATGCTGCTGCTGCTGCTGCTGTTGCTGATGATGATGTTGCTGCTGCTGCTGATGCTGATGTTGATGCGGCTGATGATGAATGCCACCAGTGGAGGAGGTGACCACTGTGGTGGGTGCTACTACACCTGCGTTTCCTGTATTCGATGCGCTTGGGCTGGGCATAGCGACGACAATGCCGATGCTGCTGCCAGTCTGTCTCAGGCAGCCGACCTCCTCGACCATGTGCGATGACGACAAATGCAATTAAGCCAAGTACTGCTGCTGTTGCCAATGCTAATGTGGGTCCACTGCTGTTGCTGTGCTCTCTCGTCGCCCCTCTTTCGAACCAGGCCAAGGTCAGAGTGAGTGGGGCAGTGGGGGAGAGAGAGATGGAGTGCCACGTACCACCCGTGCGTCGCGTTAGTTACTTGTTGCAATCAAAACCACCCACTGCTGCCTGCCACTTTCAATTAATGCCGCACACGGAAACTTTCAACCTTGCTTAAAAGCCTGGAGGAGTGCAGGATGGTTGAACGAATAGTCAACGAAGCAGTAAGAGGTCTTCACGTTTCGGCCTCTGTTGCCACCCCAACATCTATTCTATTACACTGACAATTACCACCAGAAATTCTGCACTAGTGCCCCTGTGTGTCCCTGACGATTGTTCCAACGCAAATGCGTCTCTGCTGCACAGCCATGGACTCGTCGTACTCGGAACCGACTCAGATTCGCTCTCTTTCTCGGTCTTCCTTATTCGTTCGCTCGCTCTGCCTTGGTCTGACAGCCCAATTTGCGGCCTCATTCTGTTCGGAGACTGAGACCCGAATGCATTTTACTGGTTTGTTGGTGGGTGGGGGCCTGCCAACTTGTATGAAGACGGTTTTAAATTAAAAAAAAAATACATATGTTAACCTTTTTGTATCTGTTTATTTATAAGCTTACAATGTTTAAGGGCGAAGCCCTTTATTTCTATAGAGATACGATTCTCTATAGAATCACAATCCTGTCTTGCACACTGCAGGGATTTGCATTTTACTGTTAGTTAGGAGGCCTGCCAACTTATCTTTTGTTTAAAAAACTGTTGGCAATGTGAAGGTAATTTTTATTTGACCATGTTTTTATATTTTTGTGATGTTGGGTTCGAAGTTCTCGAAATGAAGATATTTAAGTAGTGAAACTTTGTTTGAGTGTTAAGAATTAAAACTTATGTGTATAAATCGTTCGCAGGCTTTGAAAATGTTATAAAATCTTATTTTCTTTGATCCCTTAAAGTAAAGAAAATAAATAGTATCTAAAATTTGAGTACATGTACTATAAATTTGAAATATAATTGCTTTAATTAATAAATTATGCCAATATATTACCTTATTCAATTAAAATTGAAAAAAGAAAATAGTGAAGAATAACTGGAACCTAAACCTGAGAAACAGCTGGATAAAAAACTTATAAATTCCTATGAGCATGAAATATTTTATATATTTATATATATATATATATATATATTTATATATTTTATACCTTAAAAATTACATGAATCACAAGCAGAACGACACTGGCCGAAAATATATATTATATTATGTGAAAATATATATTAACTTTTCAAACGAAAGAAAAATGTATGAATTACTTTGTCTTTAAAATTTACTCATACTTAAGCATCTTACATTTGTTTCATTTAAAAGTGATTTCTTAAGATCTAAAGTGATTTACATCAGAATGTTAGCTAGCAAAAAAATCAAAGGTTCCCTCAGAGATCCCTTTTAATTGTATATAAATTGTATAAATTGTAGCCTTAACTAGATGCTTTCCAACTTTTTGTGTATTTTGCTGTATTGCTGCACTTCGCTGCCATTGTAAAGATAAGGACCTCTGACCTTTAGGATATTGAGAAGCTTCAAAATAACTAAATGATAGACACCCATAAGCGTCACGTTGTTCTCCTCCGGCTTGACAATTTACTAAATGGGAAGTGAGTCCGAACTTCATAATGGCAGCGCCAGTTTCAAAATGGTTTTCCTTAACGAAATTTCACTTTTAAAGTAAAAAAAAATAATTATAGAAACAACAAATAAATTACAAGATATCAATGGGCGGGGAATTTAAGGGATCCTTTTATTTGGACTTGATTCTTGTGCCAAATTGAGGCTGGCCAGTCTCACATCGAACTCGGCCTTGTGCTCGTTCCTTAGAAAGCGACGCATGCCAATGAAAAGGTAGCGCATTTTGGGTGCAGCCAGAACATCCAGGAGCACAGTCATCAGAGACTCGAAGTTCTCGTCGGTTCCACTCCTGTATTCAATCAGCACTTTCCCGAAATCGCGAAACTGATCCTGACTGATGAGACTCCGCAGCTGGAAGGGGAGGATCAAAGCGAGCGTTAGCTGTAGGCATATTTTTGTGTGCACCTGCAAGATTACCTCGCGCAGAAAGTCTGCCCGCGACTCGGGCGCCACTTTCACCTGCTGACTGCTGTTGCTTTTGGGCTCCGTTTTGATATTCTCCGCCAATTTGTACCGCTTTTTGGTAGTTTGTGTGGCCACCGTATCGGTGACGCCGGGGGAACTGCGCTCCCGTTTATGGATCGTCACCAGACTACTGCTGCCGCAACCGCCGCTTCCACTGTCAGCACTTCCACTGCAGTTGAAGTCTATGCTCTAATAGACATACACAAAACAAAGATTAACCTCTTCCTTATTCCGCATGGAAGGAGCAGGAGTAGGGCTTACCGAGACATTCGAGTCCAGGCGACTCATAAAATCCATGGCATTGGGTGCTGCTTTGCCCAAGGTCCGACCCGCGGCGCTGGCATAGTCTGCAGGAGTCCACGAATTGATGGAGTTGGCCATCTCCACCTTTCTGCAGGGCAAGAAAAACGACCGTTATATGCGGTGGCATGGTGGTTTTTACCAGGGTCTACATCACTTACATGGCCGATTTGTTGGCCTTGCGGAATGTTGCATTGTTTCCTGGCTCTTGTTTGATTGTTGGAATGACAGGCTGGGTCCCAACCTCCTCCACCTTGCAGACGTTCATCAGTGGCTGCTCCTCCTCCCTCACATCTGGCTGCTTCATCTGCAGACGCATAAAGTGGGGTTTAGGCATGGCCAGTGGGAAACCTTAAGACTCACCGTCTCCTCGGCATGCTTGAAGAACTGCCGCAACTCGCGCACAATGGGACCGAATGGAGAGCTCTGCGGCCGCGCACCCAGATGGCCGCGTATCCATTTGGACAGCTGCTGGACCTGGGAGGCGTCCTGAAAGCGCGAGTCGCACAGCAGAATGGCACCGTAGTCGTTACGGTGCCGGATGACGCGACCAATGGCCTGATTGACGGCTCGCGTGGCATCCAAGTTGTACCATTCCTGCCCGCTGAGTAGCTGGTTCTCTTTAGTGCGATTCGTCTCCAGGTAGCGCCGTTTTAGTATCACCTTTGGGTCCTTTAGCGGGGGGAAAGGCAAGCCGGTGATGATGACGGCCCGTCCGTTGCGATCGGCAAAGTCCAGGCCCTCGGACACCTTGCCCCGACACACGGCCATGAAAACAGCACCCTTGGAGTCGCGTATTGCCTGGTAGAACTCCTCCATGGTGCTGGTGAACTGATCCTTGCCGCGCGGCTCTACGAAGATGGGCTTTTTGCATGAGATGTCAGCCCACAAGCCGCTGGCCTGCCATGCGTCCACGCATTTGTTCAGCATCGGGTACGAGGGAAAGAACACTAGGAGTCCGTCCGGCACGATGCGCGCCACATTCAGGATGGTCTGGCCCAGGGAGCTGATATACTTGGGATTGTCCCTGGCAGATCAAAAGGATCAAATTAAGTTCAGGATTCCTTTAATGTACGCTTACCGATTCTTAAAATTGGATATCAACTGCTGTCGGTCCGGGCCTGTGCCGATGATTTTTACATAGACCTGCGACTGGTCGACAATGTGGGGATTCTCCAGGTGCTGGGCCACCGGTATGGCCAGCTCGGCGATCAGTGGCTTTAAGGGTGCCAGCGTGCCGCTGGTGAGGATGACGCTGCGCACCTGGGTGTTCAGCAGCTGCTCCATACCGAAGCCGGGATTGAAGCACCAGAAATTAACGATCTTTGCCGCCTTGCTGCTAGTTCCCGTCGTCGTGATATTACCCTTACCCAGCCAACCCTGCTGTTTGCCCTGAATCGCTCCACTCTTGCCCTGCTGCTTATTGGACTCCTCCACCTGCACGTGCACCTTAAAACTGAGATGCACCTTGCTCATGATGTTCTCCTTGTTGGCAAACACGATGGTCAGCAGATCGCTGAGCATCGTGAAGGTCCCACCCTTGCGGATCGTCATGTGCTGCGAGGCGACCATCAGGTACTGCACCAGCTTGTCCAGCAGGGCCACAATGGTGGCGCAGTTGCCGTACGTAAACTGGAAAGGATAACAAAATTGAATGTAATGGGATATAATCCTGCGTTATGCGATCATGGACTTACGTTCGCTTTGCCGAGCAGCTCGTACATTAGGGAGGCGGGATAGGTGGTGCCATCCGTGGGATTATCGACCACCACAGCATCTATGGCCTTCTCTAGCTCGAGGAGCATTTCCTTGAGCAGCGTGAGATCATCCAGGGTAAAGTCCTTGGGCTCATCGCCGCCAGCCTCCTGCGATTCTCCACTGGTGAAGACTTTCATGATATGTGTGACATCCTCGATGGCCATGGCCACATCGGAGGAGCGTATCTGCACCGAGGCGGACTCCTCGCATATCTTCTCGATGTTGTGTGCCTCGTCCAGGATTATGATTGTGTTGCCAAGCTCGATCTTATTGGCCTTGCGCGCCTTCGGGTCTAGCAGGTAGTTGTACGGCATAAACGTGATGTCCGCCTGGGCAACCAGTTCCTTGGAGGCATAGTAGGGGCACATCTTCAGCTTCTGGCCCACCCTCACTAGGTCCTCGATGTCCATGATGCTGGGCCCGCGAAAGTCCGGGTGGTCCTTCTTTGACTCGACGCGCAGCTGGAAGGTGCACGTCTTGGAGTGGACCCTCAACTTGCAGAGGTTCACCTTGTTGGAGTTGCCCTGCTCCTTCATAACCTCCGGGTGGATGCACAGCTGGTCCCGCGATCCCAGCACCACTGACCGCATGTTCGCGTATGCGGTCCGCTTCAGCTCGCGCATGGCTTGGTTCAACTGGGAGTGAGTGCGCGAGGCGTAGATCACCTTGGGAACGCCCCAGTTGTTCGCTTGGCCCACGGTCATGGCCAGCTCGCTGAGGTCTCCTCCGGGTCCGGATCCGGGTCCACCTTCCTTGCTGGTCGCCTTTAGCTTAATCATCTGCTGCTGGTGCTCCGACTGCCGCGTGCGTATCCAGGCCAGGGAAGCGCAGAGAAGACTCAGTGTCTTGCCGGTGCCCGTGGGCGACTCGAGGACGCCGTTTGTGCCGTCCCGCAAGCAGATGATCACCTTCTCCATATAATCGCGCTGCACATTGTACGGCTCGAAGGGAAAATGAACCGGTATGCCGGCAATCACACTCTCTGGCATTTGGTCTGGGGTCGCGGTCTGTTAGGTGATCCGTTTGATTATATGCCCTGAGGATTTTAGCGCGCCAAAGGCCAAAGCAACGAGAGCATGTATGGGCCTATGCAATTTTCGATAGACCACCAAACAGCTGTTTGCCAGACTCGGAATATGGAAGGTATGAAAGCATGCGGAAACAACAAAGTTGAACGACTGTGATATGAAGGTGATATATACGATCGTTAAATTATTTTTAATGCATATTAATTCGTATTATTTTCATTTAGTTTAAAAATCGTTGAGAGAGGCAGCTCTGATAGATACTGGTGCTCTGGCAGCCCTGACAGCTGTTCGAGAATCGATAAACATAAAAGTCGCCGAGGCTTCTTAATTTTTTCGGTATATTTAAAAAATGAGGCGGTATATTTTGGTATATTTCTCAGGGTCGGACGGTATATTTTATCGGCAATCCACTGCCCATCGCCCCATCGCATTTTGCAGTTTGTTGGTGCTGGAGCAGCAGTGGCACAAGAGGAAGCAGGAAAGAGTGGACGGAAAACGGCAACGGCAACGGCAACGGAGACGACGCAACAACAGTGACGACGGTCGTACTGACGAGGAGCGGAGCTAGTGTATGTGTTCCTGCGCACCCGTGTGTGTGGCGGGTGTGTGCGTGAGCGAGCGAGATACCACAAGTAAACATACATATATACATACATATATGAAAACATATCTACAGCCCATTGTTGTTGTTGGTCGTGAGGCGTCGGGTCGGCCGTCGGTCGGCCGGTTTGTCGGGTCGACGCGACTGTTACCGTCTGTCTGACCGTTTGTCATTCTCGCTATGCACCTTAAACAGAGCCACATATACGTATTTGTACTGTGCTCTCGCCGCTCTAGCTGAGAGTCGTCTTTCTCTTTTACTCTATTTGTGTGTGTGTGTGTGCGTCCCAATGCCTGTGCCTGTGCCTCGGAGTCTCAGTGTGTGTTCGCGGTGGTGATAAATTTTTGTTGGCACAAAGTAAAAATATAACAGAATAAAAAATCGTGGCGCGGGATAGAAGCTAATCGAAATTATTGCAAGTATTGGATGAGCAGCTCTGCATTGTATTCTTAATTTATATATTTTGTTTTTGTTGTATTTTGTTTGTATTTAATACCGTCGTCTGTCTTGGAGCACCGTTTTGTTTGCCTTAATTGCCATTTGCCAACAGCATCGCATCGCAAGGGCAGTGTGCTGCTTAAAACTCTCACTTGAGAAGTACTTGTGCCAGTTGATGCTATACTTGTGTTTGTGTCCGTGTCTGCCCCAACGTAAGCTTGTCCATTCCGCGGTTAGGACTCGCATTGACCACCAGGATAGCTGAGAATCCTGCATGATCCTAAATTCCACAACTGATTATAATTTGCGGTGCGGCCCTGAAGGCCAAAAGTTACCCGTTACCGTACCAATGGGCAGTTTGTGTAGTGACAATTAAAATTCAAAAGCCTTGGCGCTAATGGAATCGAGAATGTGGGAATAGCAACGCTGCGAATTTCCGATGACCGATGACGATATGAGCGCCTGCCTGTGGCTGCACACTAATCAGCATTATCACATGCAAAATGCAAATTAAGGTCATCCAACTGTGTGCGTTTGTCAAACGAAAAGTAACCGACACACAGCCCCCACGCTGGTGGCGGTGCCCACCGGCCAAGTGCTTTCGACCCCAGAGGAATAGCTCGGCGAGGAAAGTGTGTTTATCGCCAGGCCACCTTCTGCTGCTGCACTGGCAACCCTGCTGATAAAGTGAATTCCAACCAAGTGCCGCACATATAACCCCATCTCTGATAAATCCAGTGAGGCTAGAATAATTAACGAAAAATACTCGGGTATTTTAAGTGCTATCTCTTGTGTTGATGTTAGCTGTTTTGTCTCCTGCGACCGCAAAACAATAGCCATATTCCTGAACCACCACCAGTCACCAGTCCCGTCCCTCCCAACCCATCGGAGTGTATGGACGGCAGGCAATGACACTGGCGCCATGTTGCCAGACACGCGCAACCGTTCTAATATTTGACCAAGTGTGATTTAGTGAATTAAAAAATAGTTTTGCATGGCTGATGGCTGGAAATCCTTAAGATATTTGCGTTTTGCATGGTAAAGTCTTTTTGTCTGTACTGTTTCACGGCGGTCACTCCCGGAGGAGTCTGGCAACGCCATAGTGACGTTCGAGTGCGGAGTATTTATTTTCATGTGTGTCTTTGCGCTCTTATTCGAATAGAAATGGAATGTTTTGCACTCGGATTCAGTCAATTAGTCGCTCGACTATGTGAGTGCTTTGTTATTTTGTACCAAATTCAAATAGCAAACAGTCATGCCAAGAGAACAAAAGAGAGCGCAATGCTCGATTTCGCGTGAGCAGGCGAGAAAACGAAATGCAGCAGCGTATGTACCACGATCTGCGTTAGAGTCCTCCAAATATCGTAAATTTTATTCCGATTTTTAGATTAAATTAAATGACAAAATTCAATTTTTAACTAATTTCCTTTTTCGCTGCAGGGTTGCAAATAATGTTGCAAATAATACCATTTAAAAGTTTTTTTTAATCTGAAAATTTGTTAAAGAGTTCAATACAAAATATCCAACATCCAATTCCAAAATACACCAAACAAACTGAGCAAAAAAAGGAGCGGTGGACCCACCAGTCGTGGACATTGATAAGAGATGGATGTCGTTTGCAAATCACGCAAATAAACGTGAAAATAGGTTAAACGTATTCCAGCGCTTCTTACGATCGTAACGTTCTGGGCGCCCGGCTTTAATTTATTTATTCCGTTGCATCTCTTTATCACTGCTCATCCTATGTACCTCCGTCCTACCATTTTTCCATCTCGCACGCACACATGCACACACACACTCAATCCGCACGCTGCCAGAGATGCGTGTAGTAGTCGTGTGTGAGTTGTGGCTCGATCGTGACAGCACGAAATTGTGTAATCGATTGGGGATTACCTCAGCTCACGGTTGTGTTGTTGTTGAGAAAAAATCGCAATGCTCTCGATGGATGGCCGCAATAGGCTTTCAAGAACAGTTCAGTTGGGTCCGCTCTCATCTCCAATCAAAAATCAATCGAACTAGATTAGCTTTTACCATCGCGAGATTTGTCTACCTGAGTCACGCGATCATCTCTATTCAGTGAACGTCAGCAGAGCGTAGTAGCGTCCGCCGCCTAGTGGGGCATCGTGCAAAGCAGAGCAAACGCTCGCAATGGATGTAAGTGAGGGGGAATGAGTGAAATGAAGTGGAGACCTGAGGCCCCTCCGACCCGCGCTCCCTACAACTGAGACTAAGACTGAGCATGCGACGGTGGCATTTGAATTTGTGTCAAACCATTTTTCCCCCGCGAAATAGTAACCCCCCCCCACCACACCATTGGCAAAACACGAGCAGACGGTTTGCAGGGTTTGTTTGCCAATAAGCAAGTTCATTTTGAAGCAAATTAGCACATGTACTTTTTTGTTTGTACAAATTATGCGTGTGTCCGTGTTTTGGAATTGTTTAGTGATAATAATGATTACGAGAGTGCTATGTGCAATACTAGAGTGCTTGAGCTTGAATACCTCGCAGTCTGTTCCAGTTTCCATACTTCTACTGACTCCATTCCGTTCCTCACAAGACACGGAATATTATCTCTTCTGCTCAATTGTGGCCGTAGCTGGCGGCATAGTGCGTATGCGCAACATATTGAAATGTGAGAGTTTTTAGAATTATTCGTTAATTTTGTTCCTTCTTTTCTGCCGTTTCATTCATGCAGTTCATCGTTGCTTAGCCAGTCCAAATGTCAGCTGTTTCGCGCAACATGTACCATAAAAGCAGCACAGCGAAACGCAGAAAAAGAGCCAATCGATCAAGCCCAGGACAGAAGAAGCAACATCAACAGCCACAGCCACAGCAATTACAGCAACTACAGCAAAAGCAGCAGAGGGTACAAGAAGAAGAAGAAGCGTAACCACGCTGAGGAGAATAGAAGCAGAAGCAAGAGGACAGACAATAGAGAGTGAAATTACGGTAAGTAAAGCTTTCTCTCTCTTTTGAAAAACTCGAAACCTTTGCTAATCCTTCCTAATCCTTCCTTATAGAGAGATTCGTGAAGATAAAAGAGAATTAAGTTCAAGAAAGGACAGAAGGAAGATCGCAAAACAAAACCAAAATACGCCATGACAATCATACTCTTCCTGGTGGACACCTCGTCGTCCATGTGCCAGAAGGCGTATGTGAATGGTGTGCAAAAAACGTATCTGGACATTGCCAAGGGGGCGGTGGAAACGTTCCTCAAGTATCGGCAGCGCACCCAGGACTGCCTTGGCGATCGCTACATGCTGCTGACCTTCGAGGAGCCGCCGGCCAATGTAAAGGCCGGCTGGAAGGAAAACCATGCCACCTTCATGAACGAACTGAAGAACCTACAGAGCCACGGCCTCACCTCGATGGGTGAATCGCTGCGAAACGCCTTCGATCTGCTCAACCTGAACCGCATGCAGTCGGGCATCGATACGTACGGGCAGGGCAGGTGTCCCTTCTACCTCGAACCCTCGGTGATCATTGTGATAACGGACGGGGGCCGCTATTCCTACCGCAATGGGGTGCATCAGGAGATCATACTGCCGTTGAGCAACCAGATACCCGGCACAAAGTTCACCAAGGAGCCCTTCCGGTGGGACCAGCGACTTTTCTCGCTGGTCCTGCGCATGCCCGGCAACAAGATCGACGAACGTGTCGAAGGCAAGGTGCCGCATGACGACTCCCCCATCGAGCGGATGTGCGAGGTTACCGGCGGCCGCTCATACCGCGTGCGCAGCCACTATGTGCTCAATCAATGCATCGAGAGCCTGGTCCAGAAGGTGCAGCCGGGCGTGGTGTTGCAGTTTGAGCCGCTGCTGCCCAAGGATAATGCCAGCAGCAGCAGCAGCAGTGGGACAAACGCCGCAGGAGGAGGAGGCGGCTCGGCGACACAGCAGTCGTCGTCGGGTTCATCCTCCGCGTCGTCGTTGGAGCCCACACCGGACATTGTCTTCCAGCCAATCAAGAAGATGATCTACGTGCAAAAGCACATGACCCAGAAGACCTTCCCCATTGGGTACTGGCCGCTACCGGAACCCTATTGGCCGGACTCGAAGGCCATCACACTGCCGCCCCGCGACGCCCATCCTAAACTGAAGATCATGACGCCGGCGGTGGATGAGCCACAGCTGGTGCGCAGCTTCCCAGTGGACAAATACGAGATCGAGGGCTGCCCCCTGACGCTGCAGATTCTCAACAAGCGAGAGATGAACAAGTGCTGGCAGGTGATCGTCACCAACGGGATGCACGGCTTCGAGCTGCCTTTTGGGTACTTGAAGGCGTCGCCCACCTTCTCGCAGGTGCATCTGTACGTGCTGGCGTACAACTATCCCGCACTGCTGCCTCTGCTGCACGACCTCATCCACAAGTACAACATGAGTCCGCCCAACGATCTCATGTACAAATTCAATGCCTATGTACGTTCCATACCGCCGTACTACTGCCCCTTTCTGCGTAAGGCGCTGGTCAACATCAATGTGCCATACCAGTTGCTGCAGTTTCTGCTGCCAGAGAACGTCGACAACTATCTGTCGCCTACGATCGCCAACCAGCTGAAGCACATCAAGAACACCGCCAAGCAGGACCAGGAGAACCTCTGCATGAAGGTATACAAGCAGCTGAAGCAGGCCAAGCCCCCTTACCGCCAGGTGGAGACGGCCAAACTATGCACGGGCACGGTCCTGCGCCGGGACCTTGTGCGGCATCCCCTGCTGCGGGACACGTTCGCCAAGCTGCACGCGGAGATCGAGCCGGTGGAAAACTATACGATTGTAGTTCCGCAACTGACGCATCAGTCATCGGCCAAGACGTATCGCAATCCGTTTGATATACCACGGCGGGATCTTGTGGAGGAGATTGCCCGCATGCGGGAGACCTTCCTGCGGCCCACGCTGCTGGTGGCCAAAGATTCGGGCCACTGCCTCCCCATCTCGGAGATGGGCAACTACCAGGAATATCTCAAGAACAAGGACAATCCGCTGCGGGAGATCGAACCGACCAATGTGCGTCAGCACATGTTCGGCAACCCCTACAAGAAGGACAAGCACATGGTAATGGTGGATGAGGCGGATCTTAGCGATGTGGCGCCCATGAAGTCGCCCAATGGCAACGGTCCCGGCGGCTCGCCGCCCGGCTCTTCGGGCTCTGGGTCGTCCGGCTCCTCGTCGTCAGGGTCTTCATCGAGTGGGGGACCTGGGGGTCCCGGCATGGGCGGCGGTCCCGGCGGCATGTCTGGCCTCATGCTGGGCCCTCACTCGGGCAGCGGGTTCGGCAAGAAGCTTGATGGCACCTCGCGAGGACGCAAGCGGAAAGCGGGTCCCCTGCCTCGTGCTTTTGAGTTCCGGCGCGTCTCCACAGACTCGCGGTCATCTTGCTCTTCACCCCGCCCCTCGTCCGCGTCCGAAAGTGCCCCCAGCTCGCCTAATCCAGCGGCGGCAATAGCCTGCGATTCATCTGCGTCTCCGTCAGCGGCCAGCACGAGCTCTGGCTCCGGCTCCGGACTGACGGGATCGGGTCCCAGCTCTGTCCCGGGATCCGGTGGCCGTTCCAGTCCCAACTGCTTTGATGAGGACAGCAACAGCAGCTTCGTCAGTAGTTCCAGCAGCACGGACCTGTCGAGCGACTCGGGCTTGTCGCTGTCGACCTCGGAGCGCCTGGGAGGCATTGGCTTTGACTTTAGCGAGGAGGAGACCAACGACCAGGACACTGCCCTCAACGGCCATGTGCACAACTTCATCAATGGGATCAGCGACGAGACCAATGCAACGGACACAGAGGCCCCGCCTGGGCCCGGTCCAAGGCCCGGAGCCCCGCCACCAAGCAACATGTTGCCAGCCGCAGCCCCAGCCGCGCCTGAGCCCATTGTGACAGCCACATCTGTCCCGGTCATGGGGGCAGCAGCTGCTGCGCCACAGGCAACGGTGACCTCTACGGCATCCGGAGTGGTAGTGGCATCCACAGTGGCAGCCTCATTGGTCACTCCACCGCCACTGCCGGCCGTAAGCAGCACCAGCAATGGGGGACTGGGATTGGGATCTGGCGGTACTGGTGGCAGCAGCAGCGACCCGTCCTGCTCCTCCGCTTCGGCAAACAACTCGAGCGGAGTGCTGTACGTGCCCCTGAACGGAGTGACCACCACCCATGCGGCGTACAGCAGCAACCGAGGTGGCAGCCCCACCTGTCCGATGGGGTCCCACCTGGGCGGCCTGGGACCGGCAGGGAGTCACGGCCACAAGGGCATCTCGCTGATGTCGCTGTCCGGGGTACTGCCGATGCTCAATGGCTACACGCATCATGGAGTCAACATCTCGCCGCCCTCGCCCCTGTCTGCGGTCCCACCAGCGCCACTGGCGACTCCAAATCCGACGATCGCCATCAGCAGCAGTATCGGATCGGTATCTGGATCCTCTGGCTCCAGCTATTTTACCCACAATGACATCAATGATGCATCTGAGATCTCAAGAATACTGCAGACATGTCACAATGGGACCAGCGGCTCTTCCGGCTCCGGTTCGGGAGGAACAGGAGGAGTAGGCAGTGGTAGTGGCAGTGGCAGTGGCAGTTGCCTCAATGGCAACGGCAGTCCCGAGCCCGATGTTGGAGACGATAGCGAATCCCCGTTGTCCCTGGGGATTGGCAATAATTTTGATGCACTGAAGCGGCTGGCAGGTGGTGGCGCCGCGAGCAGTCCCCATTTGTACTGGGGCAGTGGACTTAATCATTTCATTAATAACAACAACAATAGCAGCAGCGGAGCAGCAGCTGCCACTGGGAACAGTAGCACCAACAATCACCGGAATCACAACAACAACAGCCCTATGAAAATGGAGATCAAGTCAAGTCCAAGCTGCAGCTCCTCGCCGACGCACAACAGCAACAGCAACGGAGAGGTAAGTGCCGCAGCGCTGCTCATATTGTCCGAGGAGCAGCGGGAGGCGGCGCGTAAGCACAACATTGACCTGCGGCTAAAGATCTTTCGGGATATACGGCGGCCGGGACGCGACTACAGCCAGCTTCTGGACAACTTGGGACTGGTGAAGGGCGACCACGACATGAAGTCCGATTTCGTGGAGATGTGCATTGGGGAGTCGCGCCGGTTCCGGCGGCACCGCATGGTCGGCAGCATTCAGGAGTGGTGGGAACAGCGGCAGCAATCGCAGCCGGCCATCGATCAGCAGCTGCAGCAGGATCAGTCCCAGCCGCCCCAGCAGCAGCAACAACAAGAGGCAGCCGCCGCTACCAAGAGTTAACGTTGGCTCTTTTGGAACTGCTGAGCCCAAGCGGTATTCGCCTGGGCTTGGGCGTGGTCGAGGGCGTGGCCATGGCCATGGGCGAGGCCGTGGGGCGCCATCAGTCTGTGATGTCATCAAAAGCAACAACAACAAGAAAAACATAAACAAAAACAACAAAAAAGAGAACCGTATGATAAAAATAGGAGAAAGAACAGTAAAAACCATAGACGTAAACGTTAACTTAACATTAGCAGTAATAAATAACAGTAACAGTATAAGAGAGAGTATCAGAGAGGAGAGGTAAACGATCGGCATTGAATTCTCGTCAATTTCCATTTATGTAAATAATTGCCAGAGTCCCCTCCCCGCACGTTGTAGGATTTTCATCCGGGGATATAGTGAACGCGGTTATACTGGAAATCTGAAACGCAAAACGTGTACACACGTTCATATTGGGCAATATCTCTATTTCGTAAGGACACTCTCTCGAGATCTTTCTGTGTAAGTCAGAATGAAGCGAAAGGCGAAAGCAAAGGCGACAGCGAGGTATATATTCTATAAGAAAACAATGTTGTAATTATATCGTGACGATGTAGCCTTAGCCGTAGCTTAATTACTGTACAACTCTTACAATGTTTTGCAGTGTTTTTTTTTTTTATTATATAAATATTTACATATATACACATACATATATATAATATAAAGTAATACCCTGAGCCCATTCGTACACCTAAGGCCCCCAAAGCAATTAATATAAATAGACTTATATCTCGATATAGTGCGAATAAGACAGAGAGCGAGAGAGAGAGAGAGAAGTAAAACAACGTGTAACATGTGTATAAGAGAGAGGAGAGAGGGTGCGTGAGTGTTGTAGGGAAAAGCTTTCGCTTCTTGAGCCAGAATTTGTAGCCAATTTTTTTGTTGGACCACACACCACAGCCTCCGTTCCGTGAATGCGTAAATGATTTGCTTTTTGTTTAAGCCCTTAACGCGAAGAATACTAAGCCGATGACATACCACACATACACACATACACAAACTATATGCATATGTGTATATGTATGTGTATATCCATATATATATATATAGAGTATATTGATTATATCTATATTTATTGCCCAGAATAGAAAGATCAGATCGGTTCAGAGTGTTTCATTAACAATGTAAGCTAGTTAGTTGTATTAACATGTACTTTTTGGCCTTAATTTTGATCCGATTCGATTCATTTTAAAAAAGATCTGTAATTTAATATTTTATTAAATATTATACAAATTTTTAAATGTGTGTAGTCGACAACATTAATACACACACACACAATTATTTCAAAAACTAAACAAAAAAAAGATAGCAACAAAGTAATTTTTGTTGAAGAAAATACACTTTTTGCACTATTTTTTTATGATAATCTATGATCGGATGCCGAAGAACATATAAAGTGGATGTAAAATGTGCAGATCCAAGAGCAGAAAATTAAACTAAAACCACTATAAGCTATTTAGCTAGGCGGCAGATAGCTCATCATCATTAATTGTTTAGAATTTCGAAAACTGCAGCAAGAGCAACAAAACACACACTAAACCAAACAACCAACAGCAAATCAGCAGGAACAACACGAAAACAAATAATATCAAAATGAATCAAAGAAAAATAAAAAGAGGAAGAGCATTAAATACAAAAAAAAATTAAATCATACTATGTCGGAAGCAAACTGTCGGTATATCGGGGCCCATTACCAGATGCAATTTATTTACTTTCTTTACACTTATTCCACAGCACATGCCCCCATGCCATACCATGCCATGTATGAATGAATGTCCCCTGTGCCCCTATTGTTTATATATTTTTATGCAAAATCGTAGAGTGGGAATCGCAATTTATTATAGTTCGTTTATCAAAAATCATTTCCATCGGATAATGATTGCAGGTGTCTCCAATGTTAGCTTTATGCTTCCTGCGATTTATTTTCCTTCCAGTCGACTTATCTTTTGTTGAGTTATATATATAATCATTATATACCAAATTATCAAAAACCACTGATCGTATATGGGTATTCAGGAACTGAGAAATACGTTGCCAGTATTGCTATCCCTCTTTATCTCATGCTGAAATGAATTAAGAGAATTTAATGATTCAAAGTGGTGGACACCTGTCAGTTTATTCGAAATTATACTCTAAAATTGATGTTTAAAAAAATCTTAATTTAAAAAAAAATGTTTCTAAAAGCTTTAAGCACATGTTTCATGTGCGCTACAAAGGAAAGAGTGTTCTAGAGCAATTTTAGATAAGGCAACCTAAGAGCATTGCTGTTCTGCACTTCTTATTCGGTTCTTATAGCTTCGTTTAATGTTTAAATAAAACACGTATATGTGTGCATATGTACATCGTATATGGGCATTTCCGCCACACTGTCCACATTGCCAAAATATGTACGTTAAAAGTCAATAAAAACTGATTTCCATACACTTCTGAATTTATTGAAAGTTAGCTAATTTAACAAGTGACATATAATTTCATTACCTTTGATCTATTGATCAACCTATTGAACCTATTTTTAGTTTTGCTTTCTTTTACTATTATCCCCAATAAGAAAGATGATTTTTGAACTTTTATTAGCTCGAAAAAATCTACGTTATTTAACAACGTCATATTTTGGCTAATATCTCTAAAGCCTTACTTCCGATTTCTGTATTTTTCTTTGCTGAACATAGAGCTACAAATAGAACATTGTTTTGTTTAACAAATTAGACTACTTATCTTTTTTTAATAAATGTCGTATGAATGAATCGAACCGCCATAATGGATATGCAGGTATATACAGTGGCGAGCACGTGTGGATACATGTTTATCACTTTGCACTTTAAGCGCCTGTAAAATCTTTAAAAATCAATCAATCCTTGTGATTTTTTTTTTAAAGATTCATTAATTTATTGAGAATAAAAAAAGACAACAATTTCAATTCAAAGAGATCCTTTTCCTTAAGAGATTTTAATTTGTTCAAAAAATGAGCATGTATCCACTTTTGCACGTTTCAAATTTTTTTACTTTAATAATTTTTTAAAAATATTTGTTCCAAAGGGCCTTAGTTTTTATCATATTCCGAATAAGTATTGGCATACTCTCGACTAAATTTAGTAGGTGCTGGAAAGGTATCATGCGCCACTCCGACCTCACGCGCTCTCAAAGATTCGCCCAATCCCTTTGGTGCAGACTCGTACTTTTCCAATGTTTTTTAAACAGAGCCCATCGATTTTCAATGGGATTTAGATCTGGACTATTCAGCAGGCCACTGGATTAAGTGAAAACTCGAATTATTGGGATGATTTTTCACGAATTTAGCCGTGTGCGTCGGGCTACCGTCTGGCTGGAAAGTGATCTCGGATATGGGGAAGTCACATTTCTCTATAAAATTTGACAAAATGAGTTCCTAAATACTAAGATAATATTCTTTCTTCATTACTTCATCGATTTTAACCAATTAATTAACGCTCCACCAAGTGTAGCAGCCCTACACCGTCAGGCTTCCTCGTCCATGCTTTATTGTTTCCTTGACCTGATGATTTTTTAGCTTTCCACATGAGCGGTATCAGTAGTTTTCATTTCGATCAGATTAAAAACGGTTTATTTTGGTATATCTGACCCAATTACCTTCTTAAAATTATCCCTGGTCCAGTTCCTATGCTCCTCGGTAAATATAAGATGCACAGCCCCTTTTTGTGAGAGAGGGCAGGTTTTTTCTGGCTATCTGCCGGTGTCATGCCGATCGTACGCAGAGCGTCCACTCATGGGACGTTCTCCAATTGGTTAAAATCGATGGAGTAATGAAGAAAGAATATTATCTTAGTATTTAGGAACTCATTTTGTCAAATTTTATAGAGAAATTTGACTTCCCCATATCCGAGATCACTTTCCAGCCAGACGGTAGCCCGACGCACACGGCTAAATTCGTGAAAAATCATCCCAATAATTCGAGTTTTCACTTAATCCAGTGGCCTGCTGAATAGTCCAGATCTAAATCCCATTGAAAATCGATGGGCTCTGTTTAAAAAACATTGGAAAAGTACGAGTCTGCACCAAAGGGATTGGGCGAATCTTTGAGAGCGCGTGAGGTCGGAGTGGCGCATGATACCTTTCCAGCACCTACTAAATTTAGTCGAGAGTATGCCAATACTTATTCGGAATATGATAAAAACTAAGGCCCTTTGGAACAAATATTTTTAAAAAATTATTAAAGTAAAAAAATTTGAAACGTGCAAAAGTGGATACATGCTCATTTTTTGAACAAATTAAAATCTCTTAAGGAAAAGGATCTCTTTGAATTGAAATTGTTGTCTTTTTTCATTCTCAATAACTTAATAAATCTTTAAAAAAAAAAATCACAAGGGTTGATTGATTTTTAAAGATTTTACAGGCGCTTAAAGTGAAAAGTGATAAACATGTATCCACACGTGCTCGCCACTGTACATATGTCTTATACCTTTTATCTCCGAGATTTGCCCCCTATGTCACTAAGCAAATGGGTATTGGAACAGTAGTTTTACTTAAATATGGATGCTCGTATATAGATTAAATATTATATTTTTACCGATCCATGGATCTCACTGACACCTATCGGCGATGTTGAAAAATCCTAGCAGAGCCACCTTCTGCCGGAGAAACCGATATTTACAAAAAATCGGCAGAGAGACACCTTTAGTTGGTGAGTGAATTCAATTCACACAATAATATCATTACTAAACAACCCTGTGCATCGATGAATCAAAAACTGCTGGTCTAATTATCGGTAGTTTTGTGCGATAAGCTATTTTCTGTGTCGATAATATATATGTGCTTTGGGGCGTTATCAGCATATTTTCTTCAACATAAGGTAACATAGCACTCTCCAATATGGATTTGTATTCGTCAGCGTTCATTCTGTACGTTGTCTGGAAAAGTGGACCCACGCCGAACCAGCAGAAGCAGTCCCATATCATTATACATATTGCCACATCCATGTTTGACAGTTCCTTTGGTGAAACATGGATCAAATTCCTTTCCTTTAGGACGTCGTACATTTCTTTCAGAATCATTCCCAAACAAATTTATTTTAGTTTCGTCGCTCCATAAAATGTTTCTTCACTTTTGTTCTCGAGCGCCTCCTGCCCAGTCTTTGTGATCTTTAGCTAAAAGTTTGCCTCATGGTTATATGTTTTTGGCGCATAAGTGGGATCTTTTTTGCTACTCTCCCTGAAGAAACAAGCCCATCTTGTTTTAGCCGTCCACGGATCGTTGGAGCACTAACTCCTTATCCAATTTCTTCTGCAATAGACTATGACAACTAAATTTATCTTTAAAGGCAAAAAAGACAAGAACTTACAAATTATTGACTTCATATTGACTGACACTGGACCTATTATATTGATCATCCGCAATGTGTGGTCAACTTACAATTTCGGTAAAAGCTCTGTTATCTGGCGGCGTTGTACCACAAAAAGAACGATAAAACTGATTACACTGATTTTAATCAAATTTTAAAAGTATTTATATTTTTTTATGGTTTCATTTTGTTTTTAGAATTTTTAAATATCTTTTTTCACAAACCTTATGTAAGCATCTACATGTGGTATAAGTGAAGCTGTAACAGGCCAAACACCTTACAGCTTAAGCTAACCGTCTGGAGAGTATTAAACTTTAAAATTAAAAATTGACTATTTTTTGCGGTATATTTTTTCAAAATATGTTAGGGTTTGTGTGTTTGTCTATTTCAATATTCCTAGTGCTGCACAGTTATACCTTAA